AAAATCGATATAAAATTAACGGTTTTAAAAAGTTCAAATTCAAAAACCCTACAAATTGTTCGGTTAAATAACATTTGCAAGGTTCTCATATTTTTGTTTTGTTTAAAAAACATATTTTTTGTGAATTTCTGTTTAAAAACAATATGAATATGCGTTGAAATAAATTAAGTTATCTAAAACACATAGGTAAAGTTAAGAAACTAGGTAAAATGTGCAAAAAATTATAAAAATTTTCATTGTTTTGATACATTTTTTGGACTCTGGAACAAAACATGTGATTTTGTATTGATTCTTTGCCTCGATTTGAATAGATTCGATTTGAGTAGAAATTTTTTGGAACAAAACAACTACTCAAATCGAGGACCCCCAGTATCTAAATGAGAGTAAAGTAAATCGTTTTTAGACTTATTGGGTACTTCATTATTATTGTTATTTTTGTACAGTAAAAAATTTGTTTAATGGAATCAAAATAATGCTTTTTTCTTCGTTTTGTTAAATTTATCGCTTCAAGACACACGTCCATCTCAATCAACATCGAGTTGGAAAGTCGGCAAACTAGAGTTTTGTGGAATTTTATGGAAAATCTGTTCTTAAGTATTTTAATTGATTGAGAAGTTTTGGAATAGTTTGACTGCTTTGGATGTTATTAACTTAAATAAAGTTTAATGCTCAAGAGGTTGTTCGATAGGTAACAAATTCATGTCAAAAGCCGATTTTCTACGGCTAATCAGGGGACTCTATACTAATCAAAGTTAAATTAAAACTACATCTCACACAGAAGAAGATCGATATTGAATTCAAAAGTAAGTTTCCAAGAGTATTCCATACGATTCAAAAGTGACTCAAATTAAGTCACTTAATTAACGAAAGGATCGAACCAATCAAATATACTCAACCTATAATCAGAATTCCATCTGATTAAAGTTGTAACCTATAATCAGAATTCCATCTGATTAAAGTTGTAGGTTTTTTTGAATCGATGAAAACGTTCATCTAAGATTTAAATAAAATGCATCTTAGTTGTTTACCCCTTTTCAATAAAAACATATTCAGTCTTTTTCTGATTTTCGAGCATTAGACATCGCACAATGATTCAGTTTCGGAAAAAATGTTCAAAAATTCCATGTGCACAATATTTTTCTGACACATTAGAGAATTGAAAGTTTTTGTTGATTTCTTTCGATTTGATTCTTTTAGCATCTTCTACATAATGTTTTCATTAATTGCTCAAAAACTCAGTCCATAATATAAAGGATAAACATGATTTTTAACCAAAAGTATGTAAAAGTTTATCAAAAAATATTGTGCATGTCCAAATTTTGTATGAAAATTTATGTAAACTTTGAACGCAAATATCTCGAAAACGGCATTAAAAGGCATGTCCTCAGTAATATGGGAGATAGATATAAGGTTAATTAATTGATTTGTATAGATTTCAGAGAGGTCTTTGGAAGACTTTTTAAATTATGAATGGTTTAAGTTTTGTAATAAAACTCAGATTTCAATTCCACTTTTAAGGCTTAATAAGCAGATTTCTATTGAGTTGGTTGTTTTAATATGTAAAGCTAAGCTTAAATTAGCTAACAACTGCTTCCAAGACATCCAAATAACAACTTAAAGTAGAAAAAATCATATAGTTTTCTTCGTACTCAAATTGTAAACAAATTTTGGGTGAGATTAAATTAATGATTTCTGGAGTTAAACAGCAAATTGGAACGAGATATTTTTAAAGGATATGTATAAAGGTAAGATCTTTAATCTAGCATTTAAAAGACAAAGTTTAATTAACATGAAATTTTTGAATTTTTGAACATTTTTTTCGATTCTGAATCATTGTCGTTTTCATTAAGGAATTTCATTCAAACTATAGGTAAACTACAAGAGTTCTGACTGAGACCAATCTGTCGAGTCCTTCCTATGCCTTGGCAAACTTTGTTGCACAATAGAATGCTAGAAGTATACAAATAACATTAAAAGATATTCTATATTTTAAACTTAATAGCAGAAGTTTATCAAGGGTTTGTAGGGATTATTTCTAGAGATGTCGATCAGTGATTAATCTTCTGAATTCACAGACATTGTATTATCATGAATCTAAGTTTACTTTAAGATTTCATAACAAACTACCTGCATAGCCACTAAGAACACCTCTCAGATTGTCATCATAATTTCTTTTAACCCGGATTTAAATTCAAAACATCCGACATATCAACTAAATATCCAGTAGTTCCAAGAAAAAGAGCTGAATACGAAAAATGCACAAGCAAATTGAGAGCATACATACCCAAATTCAAAAGAATTGCATGACGATGAAGCGACGAACCTAAAAAATTAATCTCTTGCATACTTATTGTCTGCTTCATCCATTCAATCAATACTTGAACATTGATCGAGACATTTGAATACAGCAGAAGAGAAGATTTTGCAATCGAGTTTCTAGGATGAAAATTGATGTTGAGTAATTGAGTAATGGATTTGAGAGCGCACAAGACAAGCATAAATTATGATTCTTCTATTATGATTTAATTACAACTTAATGTAGATTTAATTATAGCTCGTTTCTATGAAAAAATTTTTGTGAGAAATAAAATACCAATATGTCCATAAGTGGTTCATTTGCCATAAATTAAAAATAAATATGTTATTCATACAAGAAAGCAAAGCAAAAAAAAATATTGAGCTGAGAGAAATACACAAGCTCTATGAAAAGAAATGAAACGGGTCTGTGCCTGTAGCATTGTAGACACACGTAGCAATACAAATGAAGAGAAAAAAAGTAAGATTTTTTTGCGGTATGTCTCTCCAACTATTGCCTTACTTCATGTGCATATACACCTTCTCTTCTCCATCGTCTCTTATGCACATGCTTATGTATTGGTAATGCCGAGAGATTTTAGTGTTGAATTTTCTTGGAAAGAATTTCTTGAAAGAAACTTTTTCGACTGTTTCAGTGAGTAACGAACCGTCGTGCAAGTAAGGTAACTTGAAGAAAACAATCTCCTCGCGTAGTTAAAAATATGAAGAATTTTTTTTATTAATTTGTGCATAAATTAAAATATTGAGTTCACAATAATTAATGTCGTTTAGCATTTCATAAAAATTATTAAGAACAAAAAATTATATTAATGGACTTAAATTGATAAAATGGACGAAAATTTTTGATTCTTTTTAAACCCAAAAAAAAGAGAAGGTGAATAAAAAAAATATTTCAACAGCCTTTTATACATGAATAAGAGATGAAGAAAGAAAAGAATATAACGTTGGCATTTTGAACACTACATTGAGAGAAGTGAATGTATCAAAGAGGGAAAAATTATAGGCAAAATATTTATTGTTGTATTTTGTTCATTGAAAAACAGCATTAGTGCACTTCAACTAGCAAAAAAGGTGCAGAACGTTTAATATACAGTGAAGACAATTTTTGAAATTTGAATTTTAATGGATTTTAAAATTTTGAATTTTATCAGTGAATTCTACTTCAATTTTTTTGTGCGTCAACAATTTTCATTAAAATCAATCAAAGCAATCACAATTATTCATAAATTTTGCACATAAATATTCAAAGAATATGTCAGTAAAGGAGTCAAAGTGAATTTCTACCTGTGCTACTATTAATTTGCAAAAGAGACTGTAAAATATTGGAACAACTGTTATTGACTTTTAAAAGTGGATTTTTCTCAGAAATAATATTTAATCTTTTTGCATAAAATAAAAGACACAATTCAAAAAAGTTGCAAGCTCCAAAGAAAGCAAAATCAAACACCTAAAGTAAAAATCTATGTATGTATAATTAAAATACTTACTTTGCTCCTAAGAAAAATATTATTGAAGTAAATGTGCCAATGAAAACATAAATTTATCTGCTTGCTTGTAAATGCAATGAGTCATGTTGGAAAGAAATACACTTAATGGAAGTGGGTTAAGGAGCCTATTTAACCAGAGTTGAAAATTCACTAAGGTAGATTATCCACCGATCAGATTATCCATTTTTTCAATCCAAAGATAATCGATAAATTTTTTTACTTCGTTAAACTGCAATCTTCAGGATTATCCTAGGATAATCCATATCCTAAAATTATTTTTTCGCGATATTCGCTGAACAAGAAAAATGATTTTTCTCAAACTAGCTTGACTATTATTAACCAATTAATTCTACATCATTCATTAAGAAACTATTTGGATTTTCCTTGCATCGAAGAAATAGATAATCCTAAAATGAGGATAATCCACCTTAGTGAAACAGGCCGAAAGACTTTTTCGATCAGCAATCGAATTAAAAAATCTCTTTTCGATTAATAGAAAATTAATTTCCTTTGTTGTTGCTGCGTATTTCTCTCGATTCATTAATCTTGAGAAGGAAAAATCTAATTTTTTCGACATGTTGCATGTGCTTCTTATGATTCTTTCTTTAAGATTTTAAGTATCTTTTCAAATCTGATTAAAAAATGGCCCTCAATAACGTAACTTTGACTCTCAACATACATTCAACTACATAATTAGTGCTTCTATAAGCAAATTTATCTCATTTCAATCTCATTTTGATTTATTCTTGAAAGAAAATTGAAAATTTCTTGCGGTTTATGCCTATTGCCTCTCATCTCATCATCTCCGTATTAGAAAGAAGATAACTGAAGATTAATTTCATAATAATGATTGAGTAATAACATGAAAAATTGTGACTGCTATAATGCTTTAATGTAGAAATGAAAATCAAATTATTTTCTACTTTTTCCATCTTTAAGCCACTGTTTTCAAAGTGCGGTGTGATTTTTGCATATATATAAAAATTATATAGTATAAACACATCATCGCGCTTAATATCTTTTGCGTTTTTTATGAAAATAAACTGTGAACTTTACCGTTATTATAGTTTTTTGTTCGCTAATTTGTATGAATGCTAAAATGTTGCTATTTGAAATGAGCATCTAGTGTTGATGATCAATTATCATATTTTTTTTATAATTTCAAAATATTTTTAATAAACATTTTGATGATGTTATGTGAGAATTAATTAATAATAGCTACCTCATTTTTTCCTTATCTCCCTTAAGCATTTTACTGTTGATTGAAATGCTTCCATCACGATTATAGTAAAAGAAAAGAGAATATTCTCAGTGTTTGTGAAGTTATTGACGTGGATTTGAAGATTTGATAAAAAAAAAAGTAATTTACAAAGAAGTTCTACATTTTATTGAAGTGAGAAAATTCACATAAGAGCACTTAAGGATTAACGAAATTATTACTAGTTTACATAAGGTGAGTAAACCACATCAAGATCTATCTTTCAACAAACTATCAGGATCGTTCATTAATGATGTACAACTATCAATTGATCATTGAAAAGAGAGACTTTATACGAGTATCACATGACTCCAGACCCTCAAAAATCATAGACATCATTAATGAACGACCTTAGTAGTAATTTTAAAAAAAATCATTTTTCATATCGTCACTCATTCATCTCATCTAAAATCTCCGAAATAAAATCATCATGTCATGCAATAACTAATTCACGATGATTCAGATTTGAAAAAAGTGTTTAAAATTTCCTTGTGCTCAATATTTTTCTGACACATTAGAAAATTGAAAGTTTTTGTTAATTTCTTTTGATTTGATTCTTTTAGTATCTTATACATAATGTTTTCATTAATTGCTCAAAAAATCAGTCCTTAATATAAAGGATAAACATGATTTTTTATCGAAAGTTTGTAAAAGTTTATCAAAAAATATTGTGCATGTCCAAATTTTGTATGAAAATTTATGTAAACTTTGAACGCAAATATCTCGAAAACGGCATTTAACGGCATGACCATATTAGTATGAGAGATAGATTTAAGGTTAATTAATTGATTTGTATAGGTTTCAGAGAGGTCTTTGGAAGACTTTTTAACTTATGAATAGTTTAATTTTTGAAAAATACTCAGATTTCAATTGCATTTTTATGACTTAATAAGCAGTTTTCTTTTGATTTGGTAGTTTTAATATGCAAATCTAAGCTTAATTTTGCAAACAAGAACTAGCAAGATATAAAAATAACAACTTAAAGTAGAGAAAATAAAAGTTTTTTTTTCATATACAAATTGTAAACAAATTTTTGTTGAAAATAAATTAAAGATTTCTGTAGTTAGACATCCAATTGAAACGAGATATTTTCACTGAATATGCCTTAAGTTAAGATCTTTAATCTAGCATTTAAAAGATGAAGTTTAATTAATATATTATTTTTGAACTTTTTTTCCGAATCTGAATCATTGTGTAATTCTCCTCTATTCTGCATTGCGTTAGAGCACTAAAAGCTAAGTTTTTAAATATATTTTTGAAGTGACTTGTTGTTGCCTTATCATAATTATGAAACGGCATGTAAAAATGTTCCCACAATTCATAAATATATGAATCGAGTCGCGCGAGTTCATAGAAAATGAGTTTTTTTGCTACGTTCCGTCAATTGTGTTTTCCTCGAGTCGCGGGAACTAAAGTTGCGCGCAAAATGATACACCTTGCAAGTTTCGGTTTGCCTTTCTGACATCAAGTATGCGTTGTAGCTAATTAAAAAGACGAGACTTGGGGTGTGCTGACATGAAATATTTTTGGATGGGTGCTTGAGATTTAATTTTTGGGATGGTTGGCACTTTAGAATAGCACCTCTGAGAATGTCAAGGCACATATATAAATTGTTCCAAAATTTTTCATCACAGCAGGCTTTGCCCAAAGCATTATTCATATCGACCTCCTTTAGAGAATCTCACAATGCTCAAAATTGCTCAAGATCAAGAGCCATTGGCACACGTGAAGATGTAAAGTAATAAATTAAACTTCGTCATTTATGGTGTGTGCAATTTTTCATGACTTAATGCAATTTATTATTATTATTATCCAGCTGAATCTCATTATTTTTATTTTCTCATCTTAATCCACTTTTTATCGACATTAGAAAATCTTTCCATCATTTTTCATTTATTTTATAATTTGGCAAATTGTTCTCGTTCTTCATCCATTTTCATATTTATTCCTCATTTTTCCTTCAGTTTCTATTCTTGATTAATGCTCTCGTATTTGTTTTTACCATGCCAATAATGAAATAATAATACTAATGCGAGATTTACTAAAAGATAGCGAAAATTACTAACTGTAATCGCATTGTACATTCCTCTTCTTCCCTACATAACTTACTTACTTTACAATGTTTGCTTTACCTGTCTGCTTGCCGATATTGGGAACAAATTTAAAGAGTTATAATGAATGAAACTTTCCAAAAAAATATTTTTTTTTGCATATCAGCAGTTAATTTCACTAAATAAAGTTATGTATGCAAACAATAATAACAGTTACCCGCATTCTTTGCCATCTACTTATGTCAACTGCTTTGTTCAGAATTTGTTTCTTTGCCGAACAGTACATGATTGTTGAACAGCACTTGAAGAAATTTTTAATTGTTTTCAACCTTAAAAAAATAAGAACTGACAAAATATTTGGAATTAAGCAATTCCGAGCAATAAAAAACCATTCAAAAGAAATTAAAAATATTGTGTGAACAGTTCACATGATCATGATTTATTTTATGACCTGACTGCTAAGCAGCATACAATCATACCTAAGCAACCTCTCATTGTGGGAGACGAATGAACAAATTATTGTGACAACATCATTGCCACCATTGTGAATGACTAGCAAATGCACTTTTGAATGATTTCCGATGAGAAAAAAAATATGGTATTTCTACGGTAGCCGCAAATGTAGCACATAATGCTATTATTTTCAATGTTTTTTGCTGGCTTGTTTATGAGAGTGAAACCTATTAATGCAAGAAACAACCACATTTAAAGTACTTACAATTTGCCCGAACCAAATATAATTGATTAATATTTAGCAATAAATTTAATAGAGATACAGATTGGTCAACAATTATGTAAATTCTGATCATAAGCTATCTCGTGATTTCAAGATTTTTCACACTTTTACCATAGATAAATTGAGTACATTAAGTCGGTCATAAAATATTATATTTTATTTACTTTTTTGTATTGGATGTTTACATTCTTCACGAATTAGCTCTACTCTCTCATATGAATGGCTAATTTATATTTAGCACTAGCGTCCTCACATCTTGTTCCAAAAAAATTTATTTGTTTGATTTGTGAAACTTCAACGGAGCCTTTGTAAATGACGTTCATAACATTATTGAGATTATTGATTAGGCACAGTCATAATCAGATTTTATTCATACCTTAGAGTAGCCCTAGAAACAAAAACAGACTTTTTAAAGCATAACACAGATTCAGACCACCCTTACCATCTTAAAGTAATTTAAGAATGATCCCAAAGGGAAGAGAAATGATTTTAATCATAATCACTTCCACTTAAGATATTAAATTTTTCAAATACCGTACACAATAAATTTTTCGCAGTTAACAGCATAAACTATGACTCTATAGCCCATTATAAAAGTGAGTAACCGAACAGAAAAAAGAGAGGAAGAAAGACGAAAAAGATTGAAAGTCGAAGGAGAAAATGGGGACAGTGCTTATTGGCTAAAATTGCGAACATGACATGACTTTCGATGTTAATCATTTGGCTGTAGACATGAATGACAGGTAAACTCCGGCAAGTGTCACACACACAAAATGATTCGGTCAATGCCAGGAAATTGTAAATGTTTTCTTAATAAATATAATGGGACGCTATAAACAGTTACTTACTAGAATTGTCGTGTGCCACTACATTTGTTCCATATTTTTTGCTAATAAATCATCAAGGAAAGTAGGAATTAGAATATGAATTAATTAAGTAACCGATCGAACTAGCTGTTATCTCATAATTTGCCTACAACATCCCACATACCGAACAGGTTTCACTGTATAGTATGTAAAAAAAAGAAACAATCTTAAAGTCACTTGTTGGTGCTAGGTATCATTTATTAATCGTCTTATTCCTTTTACTTCTTTTCATTCTCCCCTCGTTTTCGATTTTAAAACATTTTTTTTATTCTGCATTGCATCGTCTATATAAACACAATAATGCCTGACTGCTTGACCCAAACTGCTGAGACTGTGTCATTAATCTCATGCGAGAGATGCGATAAGATGTGAAGACATTGAAAAAGTTTTTTTATGGACGAGAACTGAGAGAGAAGAAACCGGTTGAATGTGATAAATTAGTGAAAATATTTTTGATGCACTTTTATGAGTATCCATTGCATTTAAACTGGCATTTTTGAAGTTAAAGGTTTTATGAATTGGATGCCTACTATTAGAATTTTGATTTAGTTGCAAACCCCTTTGACTTGTGTATCAGTTGTAGACCCTTTTAATGTATTGGCAAAAGTTGAAGGCCCTCTTATTTAATTGACAAATTTATTGTAATTTGGGAATTCAAAGTGTGAACATTAATAAGATTAAGTTAAGCTTCAATTAAACTTATCTTTGGAATGTTGAGAAGTAATAAAGTAGGGATTTCAATACCGGCACTAAATTTCAATACCGGGATTAAGGTATAGGAAATTGTTGATCCCGGGATCCCGGGTTTAAACCCGGTATTAGATTCGGTTCAGAAACTACGGTATAAAATTGCGTTTAACATGTTCAAAATAAGAGATTTAAATTCCAATCAGGTGTATTAGTCATTGAAAAAAATTTTGAATTGAAAACTAATCCAGAAAGTTAAAGTTTTTCCAAATGTATCAATATTTCCTTTTCTTGTCTTGTCCAAGTCTTGTCTGAACTTTTTAACTTTTCAATTAAAGCTTTTGTTTTTACAAAGATTATCTTTTAACTTTACATATCAAAAATTATTTAAAATTTTACGTAAAAATTTGATTATTCTTTTGTAAAAATTTTTAAAACTTTTGTTTTATAAAATATCAAGAACTTTAATTTTAATTTCAAATAATAGATTTTATCGCAGCTTTATTAGAGATGCATTCGAATGATCATAAAATCTATTTAAAATTCAAATTTTTTAAAAAATTTGGAAATTTCAATGGGCATTTAACAACACATATTTCTAACATTTCAAAAAAATTTTGAAAACAATTGTAAATTAACTTATCCCGGTTTTCGGGATCCCGGGATTGAAATCCCTATAATAAAGCAATGAAAGAACTTAATTAAAAAATTAGTCGTAGAGGAACCTTAATAAATTCAGAATTAAGTAAATAATTGTTTACAACCTCGAAATTTAACATTTTAAGACAAATTATTTGTCAAACAGTAGATTCAAGATTAGTTTATTCTTTGGACAAAACAAAGCTATTCATAAAACAAAACTTTTTAAGAATAAATGAAAAGAAGCAGCAACAAATATACTTATTTACTAATTCACATGTGGAAATACGGTCTTCTGTATTTTACTGTGCATCAATCTTTTCTGCTTTCGGATAATCTTTTCCACCGAGAATTCCTTTTATTCGATTGATATAAAATATCCATAAAAAATGACTTTAGATCCACATTTCGTTCCCATATTAATTTATATTTCATTAGCATGTTATGAGTAAATTTATTCTACATATAAAACTAAAAATAAACATTTTATCCAGTAGAGTTGTTTGAATGGGAGCTTAGAGAAAAATAATAAAAAGCAGATCTTCTCTAGATCAATGGTCCCGTAACGAATTTTTCAGATTCTTCACATCATTTTTCGTTTCTGTATATATTTTCTCTTTCGGGAGAGCAGAGAATCAAGTTTTTATTTAACACCATTCATACAACTTTAAGAATATATCAATAACATCCACATTTGTTGATGAATAACGAGTGAAGACGATAAAATGATGGAGAAAATGAAAGAAAGAAAAAAAGAAAAGTTGAGTATGGAATGCGAATAATTTTAATCGGTGGATATTTTTGTCAACTATTTATGTGCTGTGGCATGGCTAAGAATATCACGAAAATCCAATAATCCGGGTGTAGATAGAAATTTCGTTCCAATTTTACTTCATTTCTGGTATTTGACACAGTATTATTGGGGCATTGCCATTGTTTGTGTTTTAGGTGGCAATTACAGCTCTGAGATTTGCCAACTTCAACTGGAAGTTTCTTGCTAAATAAATTGTTAAGGTTCATTTTGTATTAAAATTTCTCACAATCATAGAAATTATTTATTTTCTGCAACAATTCAATGGAATCTACAATTCAGACTTTATTACAAATTCATCATGCAGCCAATTTGAGCAAAACAATTCAATAGCTTGATGATTGAATATTAACAAATAATACGAATTGAGGAAATTGTTCAAAATAATGAAAGTCAATGTCGGGTATGACTCAAAATATGTCTAATAAGAAATTCATACAATTTATCGGAACTGAAAGTTGAAAATATATTAGTCATGTCTACATATTGACGACGAGAAACACAAATAATTAAACAACCTGCACATCAAAAATATATTTGAATTCTTTCCAAAAAGGTATACCATGAATGAAAGAAAGAGGCAAATAAATAAAAAAATTTTTTGGAAGGTCCAAACAAAGAGAAAAGGTTATTGCAGTCAATTTTAGTCGGTGAAAAAAGAAGATGGAGATATGTTAGATTGATGAATGATGCACATGATTGCATTTTTAAGGTTTCTAAAAAATTTCCTCTCGTTTGTTAACTTTTTCTTTTTCTTTCTCTTTTTTTTATTTATAGAAAATTGCCAAGGAAGAAGCCATGAAGCGTCTCTCGGCAGCCATACGCCTTTGTTGGCTAGCCGCTGTAATTTCACAAATTTATGCGGAGGTAAGCAGATCACAGAAGATGTAATAGTTTTGGACAGTTGCTGATTTTCAAATTCTTGACGTAATTAGTTGAAGCTATGTTGTAATAGCTTTTTAGACTAAGCCGCAATGGAAAATATGAAAAGAAGAAATTTTCATTGAGTAAAGAAAGTTTCTTGTCTGTGCACATTGTGGGTTGTTACTTATTGTTTGTGTACATTGAAAATCAGCATTTTTACCATTTGACCAACTTTATTCTTTTCCATGGGAATTTATGACAATTACAACTTTTTTCACTGCAGACCTCATTACGACATCCAAGGAAATTGAATCATTTGTTGTCCATTAATTCATAATTAAGCAGCTGATTTAAATTATAATTAATTCTTTTTTTTTCCTCTTCTTTCAGGAACTATTTTCCTGTCCTCACGGTAAGTTCACACATTCAGCTTTATTAATCTTGTGCTAATTTAATATTTAAAAAATTTGAGTGTTATTCAACAATTTAAGTTGAATTATTAAGCTATAAAAAGAAGCAGAAATATCAAAAGCAATTCATTTTTTTCGCACGATTCAAAAGCATTTGATGCATTAAAATATACACAAAACAACGCTGTCCTTCACTTATTATATAATATAGCTCAAAGCAAGACTAGCAAGAATCAGGAACATTTAATATTTCTTTTATGTTCTGCTTTATTTACTACCAGCTGACTACATTGCCACACGACTCTCGTAGCTCACGAAATTCTGCTCCATTTTACATACTTTTGGTTTACTTACATAGAATGACTCGCCGTTGAAATTCAAGGTTCATTATGTTTACTAGTTCACAGGCGTAGATCTGGAAACAAAGACTTAATAATATTTTAACGCGCTTTAAAGTCATTTGAGAATTTTTTGGTGTCTAGGAAAAGAAACATTAGTTTGGAGATTGTGCCCAAGGATTTACAAATTTATGCGTACACCTACATCAATTGTCTAAGCTTGAATTAATTGAATTTTAGGACAGATTTGCTGAAATTAATAAATGATGATTTCAAAGCGAGTTCTTGATTGAAAAGGAATATGCAACAAATTAGAATTGCAAATTTTCAAACATAAAATTGAACCGTTAAAATATTCTGAACTATCCAATTTAATGACTTGCTGAATTCAAATGTGTGCCATTTCTAATTTATTCATGAATAATTTTGATACTGGAATGTCAGCAAAAAAGTCTGATTTATGACACCAGGCACATTTCTCAGCACGAGCAACATTACTGACTCATTTAAGTTCACCTAATTTTCATCAGTTTCGGATTCACAATAAGATCAAACTGTGATCTGAAGGCAAATGAATGAAAGTGACTCTCATTGTAAATATTATTGTGTGCGAAATTCCATAAAAGAAGCTTGACATGAGCTGCTTAAATTACATTGAAAAAATGAAATTGTCATTCATCTGTATCGCTCGTCTTTCTCCTCATTCCTTCTTAAATTACTTTTTCTTTCTCTTTTACATGCAAGCACATTATCTTTGAAGGTATGGTTTGTGAGTGTGTAGATTCATTAAGAAGAACCGTATGTTAAGACACACGAAAAAATAAGAAGTGAATGAAATGAAAAGAGAAACATTCGATTGTCCCAATTTTATTTTTTTTGATATCTTTTAATATTTACAATCAATTTGCCTCAATATACACAGCCAGAGCTAGATATATCGCATACAAAAGTAAATAAACGCATGTTGTTACAGTGAATTGATTTTTAATGCTTAATTACACTTCCAATTGAATGTGAAAATTCAAGATTTAATTTCTCACTATTTCAACTATTTAAAGCCATCATGTTGCTCTATCCATATTCAATTGAAAGTAAAATCAGACTCAAAAATAAATAGCAAAACACCTCAATCAATGTGGCATGACTTCGTGTGCGAGTTAGATGCATGAAAATATGAAATGGAAATTGCTTTAAAAGATTGACAAAAGAATTCTTCTGCTTTTCGCTTCATTTGTTTTTCTACCGCTCGGGCTAACTAGCTGTTTACCGTTAAAATGCCTTGTAACAGTTAACCAATATTCGGCGAGAGTAGATGTGCGAGAGTGAAGCCGAATAACTCGTTTCTTTTCCAATCGATGACTCAAACATGAGTTGCTTTATGCCATTTTTAATACTCTCACACGGCGTGAGAGTCGATGTCGACTGGAAATTAGCAATATCATATAGATTTGAAATGAAATATGCATCAAAAAATAAATTGCAAGCAGTTCCTTGTTCAATCGAAATGTACTGAATCATAAATTAGACTCTCGTCATGGGTAGGTTGTACTTTCTTGCTCATTTCCTCGTTTCGTAATTGGATAGACTAAATGTGGACACCCTGTAATGCAAAATATATGAGTAACGTCACTTCCAGGCTACTTTTATTTTTCTTAATTAATTAACGCTTGATTCACAAATAGAGAGCATTAAACTTGTCATATTGAATATGCACAACATCAAGTCATAATCGGTTTCCGTTAAACGACCAAAATGGTAGTGAAAAAAATTTATTTTGAACTTTAAGACATCAGCATTTAACATTTGGATACATTTTATAGACACACGCTGCTATTAAGTGAAGTACCATAAAAAAACATCAAGTCAATGGAATTCTATCCATAACATTTTAAAAGTAACAAAAATATATATTTTTAATTTAATTATCTCGACACCAATTGATTGACTCCAGCACTGCTACACAAAAATTTAAAAGAATTATGAAATACATTGAACTTAACAAAAAATACATTCGCCTTGAAATTCGAGAATTTTGCTGCTGTGGAACGTGATTGGTTGTCTTGTGGTCTATAAATATGACATATGACCTATGCAACACAGACAACTTTGTGACTCAGATGCTTGCTTGCTCATTTGTTAGGAATAATTGTGATTTTATTGGCTTTTATCTGGATGTTGATGAGGGTTCGTTTATGAATGATGTTTATTAAAAAAAAGGATTCTCTTCTATTCATATCTGCCATTAAATTTACATTAAGTAGATAAATCTTAATAATATTGTTCATCAGAACTGAATAATTCCCAAGTAATTTTATTTTGAATTTGAAATTTATAGTGGAATCAAGAAGAGATTTGAGACAAAAGATTTAGCATTGAGAGGTTTTTGCTGGACTTTGAGAATGTTTAAAAGATTATTCATTTGCTATTGAATCTTCCTGTATCAAATGATGCAAAAGCCACACAATTAATATTCATATAAACATCAATAAACAGCTACATGAATCCTTGATGATGTGTCAAATATTCTCTTAACTCCGTCATCTTCTCATAGCTTAAAAGACAATCTAAAATACGATTATATAAGAATCATTTAAATCTGATATCTATGACTAAGTTTATTGATGACCACATATAGAAATGTTTACTTTTTAAAAGCCTGTGCTAGCTTAGCAAGTTTTACAGCAGTTTCTATGAAGAATTATGTATCTTCATCCAATAAAAATAAATAGAAAAGCTCCTACATCTATCTTAATAATCTGTTCAATAGAAAAACCAGATCTTAAAATAACTCCATCTTGAACTTCATGATAGATGCAAATGTTGCGTGCCTACATGCTAAAGAATTGAATTTAAGATATTCCCAAAGTGCCAACGCATTATTGACACTCCCGAAAATTAAAACAAAACTTAAATCGGTGCCAAATATGCTCGCGCACAGGCAAGTTTGCAGTCGAGACAATAGACACAAAGCAGCATGATTGGAGTTACTCAATCGGTTCTCTTGTTAGCATTTTTGTGTGCAAATTTTCTATTCAAAGCCACCCGAAAAGGTACAAAACAGTGATGGAAACAAAAATTATAATGAAAATGAAGTTACGAAATTCCACTATTCATTAATAGCAGCGTAAGTGAATTCTGTATTTTTTAGGTACGAAATCTCGAAAGCAAAATCGAGGTTAAATGATGGAAGGAAAATAAAAATTAATAATAATGCATACAGAAAATAATAATGGCGATGCTTATGCCAGATGAAAATGTAGTGAATCACCAGTTAAATTTAGCTATTTTGCAATGAAGTCAGAATCTTATTTATTGATACACAGCAATGTCGGACATTTTTAGTTCCATTGTTTTTAAGCGAATATGAATTTTTAATTATTATCCAGCACAATGGACTTAAGAAGAACAACAGTCGGCATTAGAAGAATGCAAAAAATAGAGTCCAAGAAGCTTATTTCTTTAAATATGACAAAAGCATTAAGATTGCGACTACCTAGCCATCGTATTCATTTTCGTCTTCTTTTTCCCCACTTTTTTGCTGTTTGTCAGTGTCGTTGAAATGTTTTTGTGACCCACTGTACCAAATTTAGCGAAAATGAGAATGTAAATTTCATTTGAGACTTCTTCTTGTTATTACCTCCAACTCGCATGTCTTCTTATTGCTTATTACGTTTTATGCGATACACATCTTTTGTGTTTCGTGTGTTTTACCCGATGTCTCTTTATTTTATTGTCTATTGACAAAAGTAAAGAGCATGCAAGTCATTTAACTTCTTTCTTTCTTTCATTACGCTGCAGATAAGATTGTGACGCCATGATAAACACTGTAATCACGTTAAGCTCAGTCAAATCAACGTCGTAATTAATTTGTTTTTAATGATTTTTTTTTTACAAAATTTTCTTTTCATTCAATTCTCACCTGAGTTTTTAAAAGTTTTGCTGATTCTATGAAAATCTAGCTGATAATATTCAAATTTTGACAAGATATTCACATAGTTGCTTACCCCTTTCGGTCTGTTTCACTAAGGTGGATAATCCACTGATCGAATTATCCACTTTTTCAATCCAAGGATAATCCATAAATTTTTTTATTAAGTTAAACTGCATAGTGAATAAGAAAAACTGGATTTCTAAAAAATAATTTTTTGATGATAGATTTCACAAAAGAAGATTATCCTATTAGGTGGTTATCCGAAGATTATCCTAGGATTATCCACATAATTAATCTAAAATGTAGCGGTGAAATGGCATCAGTGACCTAAATGGTAGAGCGTTGGCCTTACGTGCCAAAGGTCCTGGGTTCAATCCCAGGCCATGTCTAATTTTCGAAGCTCTTTTTCCATTTCACCGTTCTAGTTACGAAGCTCGGTTCGTGTGTTGGGTGTAGTATTGATGTCTTTGGCATAGAATATGCCTCCTTTGCTAGGTATACAAGGATATACTAGCATCTGGATGACTTCCTTACGGCATCTTGCGCACACGGATTGTGACTAGGTACATTGCAGGGTACATCAGGTCTTATGACGTACTCGTGTCTTTGCAATGTACAGAGCTTGCAAGTGGTTCGGATCCCACTATAAACTGTAGGTCTAAAGGGTGTGGTACAATAGATTCTGTTCTAATTTGAATCGCAGTGCCTCCAGCTGAAAGGCTGGGCCCTTCACACATTATATATATAATCTAAAATGTTGAACTTGGTCCCCTCAAGATTGAAAATTCGGATAATCTTCAAAATTATCCTAGGATAATCTAAGAATAATCCATATACTAAAATTATTTTTTCATTATATTCACTATAAAATAAAAAGATTTTTTTCAAACTGTTCTCTTTCAATATAATTCTAGATTTTGAATAGTCAACATCAATCAAAATTTATAGTCAAAAACAAAGGCTATTTAACTTGTCAACAATGGAAAGTCAATTAATAACACAAGCAGCCTTGTTTGCAGTTTTCTAATCATAAATCTATTAGTTCATAAAATAAAATTAAGCAAGCCTTCCTCGACAAAACTTATTACTCATTCCACGCAGTTATTCGACTTGAAAGTCAACTTGATAGATGTGAAAATTGTTTAATTTTGAATTCATTCAAGTGAAAAGAGAGCCTCAAATTTTCATTTTATTTTAATTTCGAAATGCAAATTAAATTTATTATTGTGAAAAAAGAAATAGTAATAAAATCATTACCGAAAAACGAGGTAATTGAAATGCTTAATGAAACAAGCAGTTTATAGCTTTGGCAGAGCATAATGATTTCTGACGCACTTTCCAACAGAAGAAGTTTATAAAATAAAATCGTATACAATAACTCATGGCAAGAGCAGGTTCAGCTTTACAATATTAATGCGAATAAATAAGAAATAAGTGAGAGAGAAAGTTGTCGAATCAATTTTAGTGCATTTTTCCGAATTGAATGAATGGCTAATTTACTGTCTGCGGTTTGTCTGATGGACTTGCTTGAATGGTCTATTTGTCTGTCTGTTTGCATGTCATTTCATTTGTTTGCGTCACGAACTAGTCTCGCAAGGATGGGTGTAGATGTCTTGTGACTCAATCGCTTGAAATTTTATGAGCCGGTCTTTTGTTATGTTTGAAAGGAGATAAAAACAATATTTTTTGCATATTAATTGGAACTGTCAATTATGCAATAGTTTTTTGAGCTCATCCTGCGTAGGATGTTGACTAACTTGCTATTTCAATCCTTCATCAACAGTCACAAGCTGTCGAGATGTCTATTACAGCCTCATTAAAATCATTTCAATGAAATCGTAATTAAAATTCAATTTAACATGTAATATTTCCGCAAAATCGAATACATTTAATCACTTTCTTCTTCATCTCGTCCACTCAAAGAATGCGTTGCTTATGTAATGTCCACTTGACGTGACAATTTACTTGCAAAAGTCTTTCGTACCTTTTATTTCACTTTTTTTTTGTTCAATTGAGATTTCATCTGAGCATGATATAATCGTCGTGCATGGACATAAGACTTCATATTGGGTTTTGTTGCCACAATTTATCATGAGCAACATACAAAGTTGGATTGACCGATTGGTATCGTGAATTATAAAAGAAATATATTTATTGATGTAATTTCTTTTCATAACTAAAATTCAATTTAAAATAGCTGAATAGCGATAGACTCTAGGAAACGCGAAAAAAATGAAGATATTATGCAATTTTATAGCTTATAAATAGTACAATGATATGTCCATGTGACACAATACAACAGCTCTATCATGTTTACTAATAATCTTTATTTTCTCTTTTACTATCACCTTTCACAGGCTGGGAATATCAAGGATTAAATTGTTACAAGTATTTTAATATTAAACATTCATGGGAGAAAGCAGCTGAAATTTGTCGAAGGTGAGTTTTGACCCATCTCAATTACTGAATTTTGTAGCTTTGATCTCAGAGACTTAAAATATAATCGCTATGTATGATGTAACTAATTCGTGATGTGATGTGATTCTCAATCAGTTTGTTGTTTCTTCTTTAATTTAAAATGAATAGCAGATGAGACACGACGATGATGATGGCCACACTCGTCACATCATACAACTGAGTTGCTTATTGTTATTTTGACGATACTCATCATCATCGTATATTCACTGTATTGTCTATGACTTTCTTAATACCTGTATGACTTAATGTCATGCAGAAGAGAAACATTTGTCAACTTTACTTGCCTTTTCAATTCGTTTGATGATTCCTCGTTTAAAATTCAAAAGCATTAAAACGAAGAAAAAAAAGTAAAATTGCGTGATTTAAATTTTTAATTTATTTCTATTTCTTTGGTTTCGTATGCCTTAAGAATCGATCGTATTTTGCACAGGCAAATAATTATTTCTAGCCTAACGGAAGAGTCAAATAAACCAGCGTGATTGATTGGTGAAATATTCATTGAATACTAACGGGACTCTTGAATTAGAATTACAACTTAATATGTTTTGTTTAAGGGCATCTAGTAAGTTTATTTGAAGATGGATTTGACATTTTAGTGCAAGTTTGGATGTTTTCAATTTGCATAAGATTTCTTTACTGTCCAAATGATTAAAGAATTGAAAAACCTCTGGATGTTTCCCTCCAAATATAGCATAAGATTAATCTTCAAAAATCCAGTACACACATATATTAACATCAATAATGAAATTCTGCTGATTCCCAAACAATTTTAAACCAAATTAATCTCAATTTTATCTCGTTTAACACAATCAATCAATAATTTTCAAGCAATCAAAGTCAAATTTGTGTGTTCCTTACCATAAAAGCACTAAAAGGTTAATTTGAACAATACTAGAAAGTTCTTTGACTTCCCAATAACTCCAAAGATTGAAAAGAAATAAATTGAGTATTTAGGATTAGTGAATCATGGCTTGTTGCAAAAATATCCATGACTAAATCGTCTTGTAGCTTCAAAATCGCTTACACTTTTCAATTCTCTTTACAATCCAATTTCCGTTAACGTCGCTCGTTGAAATCTTTTATTTCTTTTCAAGAAGATCTTTTTACTTCCAATCGAAAAATATAAAATAAAAGAAAAATGAACATAAAATCCCATAAAACTCAATTATTCGATTGTTAATGATCGTCTTCATTAAAAAGTAAGTTTAGTGTACGTATACACACACGATATTCACACTCACAACAGCAAAGCTGATGAAAATGAAAAGAATAGACTTAAGTTTAATTATTAATTTGAATCATTCAGTCGAGATATTTGGCATACATAACTTACTTGTTTGGCAATGACTCTCTTATTGTTGTTATTGTTTTTTTTTTTACTTTTTATTGCTATCATTAGAAGGTCTTCTTTCTTTCTGCTCTGATCGTTTCCACTTCTTCTCAGGCTTTTTTTTGTTTATTCATTAGGCCTTGCCTATAAAAAAACAAAAAAACTGGGAAAAGAGATTTCCGAAAATGAACGAAGATGACAGAAAGAATTTATTGAATGATAAAATATTTTACTGTTATATCCAACTCTCGTACGACAAGATTTTTCATTTCTTTTACTGTACGAAATCGTTTCGTGTGTTGATAAAGAATAGCGATTCGCTGTCGTTCCATGAATAACATTTCTATACTTTATATATTTCTTTTCCTAGTTCTTACTATAAGACATCATCGTGTATAGAAATAATCATAATCATGGCAGTAATAACAACAGCAGGCAGATTAAAGTAACAAGTTAATGAACAAATGAAGAAGAAAACTTGAAGAATTTCTTCTTATAATTCTCAAGCGTTAACGCAATTTCATGTTTAACTTATTCTTTTCCTTACTCATCTCTATCGTTCTTCGCATGCCGGAGAGAAAAATCACATATTGAATGAGATAACAAGTTTAAAAATCCGTGGATATAATGAGAATATTGAACCTTTTGTTTTGAAGATTTAAGATTTGAAGATTTTGCTGAACAAATCTGATTTGAGTTGAATATATTTGAACTAATACTAAATTCAGCATTACTAGGCTGAATAGCGCTAAATTCACCATCATTGTGCTGAGGAGCGCTGAATTCAATAAAAATTATGCTGAATCCAGATAAATTTTGCAAAATAATTGCTTAATTTAGAGTCAACAATCGAAATTCATACTGAATTGAACTTAATTGTCCTGAACAACAATAAATTCAGCTGATCATGGCTGACTTGAGCTGTATATTTCCTCAATCAAAATAAATAATGCTGAGTGTGATAATTGAGTTCTATTCTAGAAAAAAAAACTCATCAAAATAATACAAAATACTAAAACGAATTCTCCAAATGATCTTTTCGAAGCTCAATCAAATTTCCAGATCAGTTAAAGTGAACACAAAAGACTCACACTTTTGAAAAACACGAGAATGAATCGTAATACGGTTTTGGTTCTCAATTACAACTCATTTTTCTTTTCTTCTTGATATAGTTGTAAATATGTTCTTGATATATATACAAACATGTATATGCTTGCAGTTATAATTCATCATATTTACATATACATCCATATTACATATCATAGAAGCGTCATGAACAGCAATAAATATCTTTATTTATCTGCGCACATGTAAGCATGCAAGTGCATCGACAATCATTATGCTGCTGCTTTATCTCATTCATTTGCTCTCTGTTGGCTGTAATATCCATTAAATTATTATGCATATTACTTCATCTCATCTTAATAATATGTGAGGCAGTAAGAGAAAAAGAGCATCTAACTTTACTTCACACAGTTTATAATACATACTCCATTCAGCCGCTGTGCTATGCGTTTACAATATACACAATGTCATGGACAAGCTAATTAGATACAAGAAGAAAATAAGACAATGCCCGACTTAAATCTTCCGCTACTGTGACGAATCAAAATTATTTCTTCTTTCCATCTCCCTCCGACTCGTCTCATTCTTCATCTTTTCTCGTTTGCTCGTAGTTCTCGTGAACTTATCTGATGCCGATGTAAAATAATTTGGTCATCACGCATGTGACTGTTCATTAACATATTTCGATGCATATAAATATTAATATATTGCTATGTCATCGACCTCACCATTTTCCAATCTTATTGATTTCAGTATATACGAATATGTAGCGCGTATATTTCTCTTAATAGACCCGCTTTAAATTACAATCATTTATTATTAAAAATTCAAATCAGATAATATATTTTGAATAATAATAAAAATTTCTTCTTTTTCTTTCCTCCATTTTCTTCTTTCTCCAATTTAGATATGGTGCTGAACTAGTTGCCATTGATTCGTATGCAGAAAACAATGTGACATTGAATGTAGCGTCAATAGCAGAGGCAAGTCGACGAACATCGGATAAATATTGGCTTGGTTTAGCCTCATTAGACGATTTGAGAACAAATACATTAGAGTCAGCATCGGGTACTTTGGTATCACAATATTCTGGATTTTGGTCATTAAATCAGCCAGATCCAACGGCTGGAGAATGTGTTGCAGTATCCAGCAGTAGTGCCATTCAATCATGGGAACTTGGAACTTGTGAAAGTTTATTGCCATTTATGTGCAAATCATCAGCATGTCCATCAAATTCAATACATTGTTCAAATGGAAAATGTGTTAACCAAAAATTCAAATGCGACGGATCCGATGATTGTGGAGACGGAAGTGATGAACTCGATTGTCCACAAACATGTCAATTCCATATGCAGTCCGGTGGTGATGTTATTGAATCACCAAATTTCCCACACAAATATGGTGCTTTGTCAAAATGCAAATGGACACTTGAAGGTCCACAAGGAAGTAACATAATCCTTCAATTCCAAGAATTTGATACTGAGAAAACTTTTGATACCGTTCAAATTCTCGTCGGTGGACGTACAGAAGAGAAATCGGTCTCATTAGCAACGATTTCTGGCAAGCAACCTGATCTTTCAAACAAGCCATTCGTAACAGCATCAAATTTCATGATTGTCAAATTCACATCTGATGGAAGTGTAGAAAGAAAAGGTTTCCGTGCAACGTGGAAGACTGAACCACAAAATTGTGGTGGAACTTTGAGAGCAACAGCACAAGGACAAATTTTAACAAGTCCTGGTTATCCAAAGAATTATGCAGGTGGATTAGAATGTCTTTATATCATCGAAGCTCAACCTGGAAAGATTATTTCATTAGAAATGCAAGATATCGAAGTAAATTATGAACGAGATTACTTGTTGGTACGAGATGGAAGTTCACCAATGAGTAAACCAATTGCAAAATTAACTGGAAATACTAAAGATAATGTTCGTGTAGTTATGTCGACCGGTAATAAGCTGTATATTTACTTCAAATCAAGTCTTGGAGATTCTAAGAAGGGATTTAGCATTAGATATACGCAAGGCTGCAAAGCAACAATTAATGCAAGAAATGGAACTGTTAGTTCACCAGCATTTGGACTTGATGACTATCCAAATAATCAAGAATGTATGTTCAAGATTCAGAACCCTGCTGGCGGTCCATTATCTTTGAGATTTGATGATTTTAAAATTCACTCAAGTGACTTTGTCCAAATTTATGATGGCTCAACAACAAACGGTTTAAGACTTCATTCTGGTAATGGATTTAGTGGCATGCAAGTACCAAAATTAACGTTGACAGCTTCATCCGGTGAAATGCTTATAAAGTTTACATCAGACGCATTACACAGCAATCGTGGATGGTCAGCAACATTTTCTGCAGACTGCCCAGATCTCAGGCCAGGAAGTGGCGCATTAGCATCAAATAGAGATACAGCTTTCGGTACAAATGTTCAATTTACATGCCCCATTGGACAAGAATTCGCTACTGGCAAAAGTAAAATTTCTACCGTTTGTCAAAAAGGCGGAGTGTGGAGCTTAGATTATATTCCAAAATGTCAAGTGGTTTATTGTGGACCAGTTCCACAGATTGATAACGGATTTTCGATTGGATCAACGAATGTAACATTCCGCGGTGTAGCTATGTATCAATGTTATGCTGGCTTTGCTTTCCCAACTGGAAATGCTATCGAAAAAATCTCATGCTTAGCTGATGGCAAATGGGAGAGAACGCCTTCATGTTTAGCCTCGCAATGTCCACCATTGCCTGAAGTGCCTCATGCTAATGCAACTTTATTAAATGGCGGTGGACGAAGTTATGGAACAATTGTAAGATTCGAATGCGAGCCAGGTTATGAAAGACACGGAGTTCCAGTATTAATTTGTATGTCAAATGGCACATGGAGTAGCGATATTCCAACATGCACAAGAAAACGATGCTATACATTCCCAGAAGTAAAGAATGGATTTGTTGTTGATACAGCACGTGAATATTTCTATGGCGATGAGCTTAGAGTTCAATGTTACAAGGGATTTAAATTGAATGGAACTAATATCATTAAATGCGATGGTGATCAATCTTTCCATAACCCACCCACATGTGACGATATTAATGAGTGTCTTACTACACAATGTGATCTAGCATCTACGGAATGCATTAACACACCCGGCTCATTTTATTGTCAATGCAAAAAAGGCTTTTCCTCAACGAATGAATGTAGGCCAGTTAACGACTTAGGTTTGTACTTAATTATATACTATTTTCTACTTTTTATTAATCCTTGCTTAAAGATTATTATCTAGGGGGAAAACAACATGATGGAAAAAAATTTTGATCGAAAATTTTCACCAAACTGATTTTCCATTAGTTTTGAAGGGAAATTAAAAAATTTGAATGAAAAATTTTCCCCATCATGTTGTTTCCCCCTTGGATTATTATCTTCATTATGATGATGATGATCGCGGCAATTACAAAAGTTTAGACATATCCATATGAAAAAATTATTAATTCTTTCCTTCCTTTTATAAATAAAGGTTTATCTACAAATGGTATTGCAGATGACAGTATCATAGTTTCATCAACAGAAGAAGGTTACAACAAGAATGTAAGTATATAATAAAATGGAAAGAGAAAACGTTTTAAATTGGAAATTTATCTCCAATCTCTTGCATAGATGATTCGTATGAATTCAGGTGGATGGTGTGGAGCATCTCAGGAACCTGGTCAAAATTGGGTTTTGATTGACTTTAAAGCATCAACATTGATTAAGGGCTTCCGAACAATGCAAGTACAGAGATCTGATGGAACAACCGCTTTTACATCCGCCATTCGTTTACAATACTCTGACGACTTAACAGATGTTTTTAAAGACTATGCTAATCCCGATGGAACAGCCGTTGAGTTTAGAATTTTGGAGCCAACACTTTCAATTCTTAATCTCCCGTTACCAATTGAAGCTCGTTATCTTCGTTTTAAAATCCAAGATTATTCCAATTATCCATGCTTAAAATTGGAAGTTATGGGCTGTTCTCGATTAGAATGTGTAGATAATAATGAATGTGCAAAGGAGAACGGAGGTTGCGATCAAAAATGTGTCAATTCACCGGGTAGCTATTCATGTTCATGTACAACAGGCTATCAATTATATACACAGAATGGAACTGCTGGTTTCTTTGTTGAAAAGACAGAAACAGGCTCAAAAGACGGTGACACATATCAAGTGAACAAAACTTGTGTACCGGTGCAATGTCCAAATTTGGACGCACCCGAAAATGGACAATTGCTAACTAGTAAGCTTCAACACAATTTTGGCGATTTAGTACGTTTCAGTTGCAATTTTGGATACATAATGTCGGGAAGTTCGTCATTGGTTTGTATGTCAAACGGAAAATGGAATGCAACTGTGCCTGAGTGCATGTGTAAGTTAATCTTTGAATTAATTTGACTAATTTCTGTTTATTAATGAGCTTTTAATTAATTTATTCCCACATGTATAGACGCAAAGTGTGTTTCTCTTCCGGATGACAAAAATGAAGGATTAACAGTCTTACGATCAGATCAAGAAAGTATTTTGGTGCCATTTAAAGAAAATGTTACAATCGCTTGCAATACGCCAGGAAGAACTTTAAGAAATACAGCCTCGTCATCATTCAGACAGTGTGTATATGATCCAAAGGCTGGATTACCTGATTATTGGCTTTCTGGTTTACCACCAAATTGTCCACGTGTTGATTGTGGTTTACCAATGAATACTCCCGGTGCTGAATATGGACAATATGTTGATACTAAACATCAAAGCTCATTCTTCTTTGGATGTCAAAATACATTCAAGCTTGCTGGTCAGACATCACGTAATGATAATGTTGTAAGATGTCAATCTGATGGAGTTTGGGACTTTGGTGATTTAAGATGTGAAGGTCCAGTTTGTGAAGATCCAGGCAGACCAAGTGATGGCTTCCAATTAGCAAAGAGTTATGAACAAGGATCAGAAGTTACATTCGGATGTGCACGACCTGGTTATATCTTAATTAATCCTCGTCCAATTACATGTATTCGTCAACCAGAATGTAAAGTAATTCGTCCATTAGGACTTAGTTCAGGTAAAATCCCTGACAGTGCAATCAATGCAACATCTGAACGACCAAACTATGAAGCACGTAATATTCGTCTTAATTCAGTAACCGGATGGTGTGGAAAACAGGAAGCCTTTACATACGTGAGCGTTGACATGGGTAAAACTTATCGTGTGAAGGCAATATTGGTGAAAGGTGTAGTAACAAGTGATATTGTTGGACGTCCAACTGAAATTCGATTCTTCTACAAGAAATCTGAAAGTGATAATTATGTCGTCTACTTCCCCAACTTTAATCTAACCATGCGTGATCCTGGAAATTATGGTGAATTGGCAATGATAACTTTACCAAAATATGTTGAGGCACGATTTGTTATTCTCGGAATTGTATCATACATGGATAATGCATGTTTGAAATTTGAATTAATGGGATGTGATGTACCTGAGAAAGAGCCAACATTAGGTTATGATTATGGATACTCACCATGTGTCGATAATGAGCCACCAATTTTCCAAAACTGCCCACAACAACCGATTGTGGTTAAACGTGATGAAAATGGCGCAGTCATGGCAGTAAATTTCACAGAACCAACCGCAATCGATAATTCTGGCTCTATCGCTCGCTTAGAAGTTAAACCGCCAAGTTTCAGAACACCATCATACATCTTCCAAGACACCGTTATTAAATACGTTGCCTTCGATCATGACGGTAATGTTGCAATTTGTGAAATTAATATTACTGTGCCTGATGTCACTCCTCCACTATTGAGTTGTCCCCAAAGTTATGTCATTGAGTTGGTTGAGAGACAAAACATATATCTTGTGAATTTTAATGAGACACGAAAGCAAATCAAGACATCTGATAATTCAGGAGAAGTTCATCTAACGTTCATTCCAGAGAAAGCTAATATCGCAATTGGTATGTTTGAGAATGTAACGGTTATGGCAACAGATAAATTTGGCAATAAGGCAATGTGCAACTTCCAAGTTTCTGTTCAACCAACGCCTTGTGTCGATTGGGAATTACAGCCGCCTGCCAATGGACAAATTAATTGCTTAAAGAATAAGAAGAATGGAGTAGATTGTATTGCAACATGTAAGACTGGATTTAGATTTACTGATGGCGAGGCAATCAAGTCGTTTGGATGTGAGGCTCAACGTTTATGGAAACCAACTTCTGTTGTACCGGATTGTGTTTCTGAAAATACACAGCAAGCTGATTATCATGTTACTACATCTATTAATTATCGTGCAAATGGTGCTGTACCTTCTTCATGCTTATCACAATATCAGGATTTATTATCACAATACTATCCAAACTTGAACCGTTTGTTATCTGAGAGATGTTCAGCTGTTATTCCAAATACAAATGTTTCATTCATCAAGGCTGTTCCACAACTTGTCGATGAAAATGTAGTCAACATTGACTTTGTACTGGTTATTATCCCGGCTGTCAAGCAATTGCAATTATTTGATTTATGTGGCTCATCACTTCAACTTATCTTTGACTTGAGTGTTCCATCAGCAAGTGCTGTAATTGAACCATTAGTGACTGTATCAAGTATTGGAAATCAATGTCCACCATTAAAGGCTTTGAAGAGTAGTACGATTCGCGGATTTAAATGTAGTGTTGGTGAAGTATTGAATATGGATTCAACTGATGTTCCACGCTGTCTTCATTGCCCAGCAGGAACATATGCTGGTGAAAATCAAAATTCATGTACATATTGTGCTCGAGGCTTCTATCAAAATCGTGATCGTCAAGGACAGTGCATTAAATGTCCAGCAGGCACATATACTAAAGAGGAAGGATCTAAAGCAGTTCAAGCTTGTGTCCCAGTTTGCGGTTATGGAACTTATTCACCAACTGGTTTAGTTCCTTGCTTAGAATGTCCAAGAAATTCATATACAGCTGAACCTCCAACGGGAGGTTACAAAGATTGTCAAGCATGTCCATCAAATACTTATACATTCCAACCATCAGCACCAGGCAAACATAAGTGTAGATCAAAATGCGCTCCAGGAACTTATTCATCAACTGGACTAGCTCCATGCTCACCATGTCCACAAAACTTCTTCCAAAATATGCCAGGAATGATGTCATGTACTGAATGTCCAACAAATATGAAAACTGACAATGCTGGTGCCACAGGTCGTGAAGAATGTAAAGCAGTAACATGCGGAGAGAATGCATGTCAAAATGGTGGTCTTTGCGTTCCAATGGGACATAATATTCAATGTTTCTGTCCAGCTGGATTCTCAGGACGTTATTGTGAAATTGATATTGACGAATGTGCTTCTCAGCCTTGTTACAATGGCGGTGTCTGCAAAGATTCTCCACAAGGATATAAATGCGAATGTGCTCCAGGATATACTGGAATCAATTGTCAAGAAGAAAAGTCAGAATGTAAGGAAGATTCATGTCCAGCTCGTGCAATGTGTAAGGATGAACCAGGCTTAAGTAATATGTAAGTATATTAAAATCAAAGTATGATTTACATTAGTCTTAAATTAATTTTATATCAACAGCACATGTCTATGCCGAAGTGGATATACTGGCGAAAATTGTGACGTAACAATTGATCCATGTACAGCAAATGGAAATCCATGTGGAAACGGAGCATCATGTACAGCATTAAAACAAGGAAGATTCAAGTGTGATTGTTTGCCTGGATGGGAAGGTCAAACTTGTGAAATTAACACGAATGATTGTGCTGAAAATCCATGTTTATTGGGTGCTAATTGTACAGACTTAGTCAATGACTTTAGATGCGACTGTCCAGCTGGATTTACAGGCAAGCGTTGTCAAGAAAAGATTGATTTATGCTTATCTGAGCCTTGCAAGCATGGAACTTGTGTCGATCGTCTGTATAATCATGAATGTGTTTGCCATCCAGGATGGACTGGTTCTTCATGTGATATCAACATTAACGACTGCTCAATTGAGCCATGTGAAAACGATGGAGTTTGTATTGATATGGTAGATGGATATCAATGTAATTGCGAAGCAGGATATACAGGCAAGAATTGTCAACATTCTATTGATGATTGTGAAAGCAATCCATGTCAAAACGGTGCTACATGTGTTGATCAACTTGAAGGCTTTACATGCAAATGTAGACCTGGATTTGTTGGACTTCAATGTGAAGCTGAAATCGATGAATGTTTGAATGATCCATGTAATCCAACTGGTACCGAAAGATGTTTAGATTTAGACAACAAATATTCATGTGTCTGCCGTGAAGGCTATACTGGTGAAATTTGTGATGTCGATATTGATGACTGTGAATCTTCACCTTGTATTAACGGTGGTGTGTGCTCAGATCGTGTTGGATCATATGAATGTACTTGTCCAAATGGATGGGCTGGAAAGAGATGTGAACAAGAAGTTGCAATGTGCTCAATTCAGCAACCATGTCTAAATGATGCTACATGCATCGACTTGTTCCAAGGTAAGATTCATTAATTTTCCACACGATTAGGCTAAGTCATTAATTTTAATTTTACTTTTTTTTTGTGTCCACAAAAGATTACTTCTGTGTATGTGAGAAAGGCCTTGACGGAAAGAACTGTGAAGTAGCACCTGAACGCTGTATTGGAAATCCATGCATGCATAATGGAAAGTGTCGTGACTTTGGATCTGGTCTCAATTGCTCATGTCCTGAAGATTTTACTGGTGTTGGATGTCAATATGAATTTGATGCTTGTGAGCATAACATCTGTCAAAATGGCGCTACATGCATCGATAATGGACCATCTTATACATGCCAATGTCCACCAGGATATCAAGGAAAGAACTGCGAAGAAGATATTGTTGATTGTAAGGATAACTCATGTCCACCAGGAGCTACATGCATTGATTTGAATCAAGGTAAGCTTTAGATGACATTTTGAAGATACAAATACTTAATTTACATGTATACAATCCACAGGTTATTTCTGTCAATGCTCATTCAACTTAACTGGTGATGACTGCCGAAAAAGTAAGAGATTATCAGTCTATCCATTTTACAAATTATTAATGACATAACATTTCTCTATTCATACAGCAATCCAAGTTGATTATGACCTTTACTTTAGTGATGCAACAAGATCAACAGCCGCACAGGTTATTCCATTCCCAACAAGTGAAAGTGATAGCCTTACTGTAGCTATGTGGGTGCAATTTGCACAGAAAGATGATTCAGGAATTTACTTTACATTATATGAAGTCGCTTCATCACATGTTGCTTCTCAACGACGTCTTATGCTTCAAGCTCATTCGAGTGGCATTCAAGTATCATTCTTCCCAGACATCCAAGATGCCTTCTTATCATTCAGAGAATATGCAACACTTAATGACGGACAGTGGCATCATGTTGCTGTAGTTTGGAACGGAAAGAATGGTCAATTACAATTAATTACTGAAGGATTGATTGCTAGCAAAGTTGAATACGGAATAGGAAGAACTCTACCAAAATAGTAAGTACACACCTAGATTTTTATAATGAGACAGAATTAAACTTTAATGCCAATTTTAAATCAATAGTGCATGGGCTGTATTGGGAGTTCCACAACCAGAGGATGGAAGTCAAGGACCATCACTTGCTTATACGGAAGCTGGATTCCAAGGTCGTATTACAAAGGCACAAATCTGGGGACGAGCTTTAGACACAATTTCAGAAATTCAGAAACAAGTACGCGATTGCAGAAGTGAACCTGTATTGTACAGAGGATTAATATTGAACTGGGCTGGATATGAAGTCACATCAGGTGGTGTTGAACGATCAGTTCCATCATCATGTGGAACAAGAAAATGTGCAGCTGGATATTCAGGACAACAATGTCAGCAATTAGATCTTGATAAGGAACCACCAAGAGTTGAATATTGTCCAGGAGATTTATGGATTATTGCAAGAAATGGATCAGCACTTGTCAATTGGGATGAGCCACACTTTAGTGATAATGTTGGAGTTACAAAGATTGTTGAAAAGAATGGACATCGATCAGGTCAAACACTTTTGTGGGGAGTATATGACATCACATATATTGCAGCTGATGGTGCAGGAAATACAGCTACATGTAGCTTCAAAGTTTCACTTCTATCAGAATTCTGTCCACCATTAGCAGATCCATTAGGAGGTTCTCAAAGCTGTAAAGATTGGGGCGCAGGTGGACAATTCAAAGTTTGTGAAATTACATGCCAGAGTGGCCTGAGATTCTCAGAACCAGTTCCAGAATTCTATACATGCGGGGCTGAAGGTTTTTGGAGACCAACAAGTGACCCAACTAAGCCATTGATCTATCCATCATGTTCACGTAAGTTTACAAATGTCAAATAATCGATTATATCCATTACAAAAACTTTATTTCGTTTTACAGCATCCAAGCCAGCACAGCGCGTCTTCAGAATCCAAATGCTGTTCCCATCAGATGTCTTATGTAATGAGGCAGGACAAGGTGTATTGAGACAAAAAGTAAAGAATTCAGTAAATTCATTGAACAGAGATTGGAACTTCTGTTCACATTCAACTGAAGGCTCAAGAGAGTGCAAGGAGATCCAAATTAATGTTAAATGCGATCATTATCGTGGCACTAACCGCATTAAACGTCAATCGAACAATAATGATGGCATTGGTGTTTACAATTTAGAGGCATTAATTCCAGTCGAACGGTAAGTTTTTATTTATTTATTTTTATTGATTCTCCTACTTTGTATTGTACCTTCATGTGAATTGCACAATTGAATGATGTGCAAAAAATGTTGCATCCAAAATAGCGATTAGACTGTGTTGTATGTCAATTTTATGTTATGTCCTCAATAATTTTATAGAACAAGTGATGCCTCAGACAGTAGAAGTCGTATTGGACGTCAACAACAGAACGGTGACACCTACTTGCTGGAAATTACATTCCCAGCTGTCAAGTACGTTTGAATTCGCAAATGAATTAACACAAACAATGACCTGTACAGAAATGAATACTCACTTGCACTCTATTATTTACCTTTACCTACTTAAATTATAACTTTTTTGCAATTTCTTTGAAATTAACGGAACTAGTTCCAACAAAAGTTCTACTAAAAAGCTACGAATTTTGGTGCTTGACCTTAATATTGGATTTATGTCTGTTTTTTTTTTTTTTTTTTTGGGTTTTCTTTCTTCTCTATCTTTAATAACTTTTTTTCTGCACAATTACTTACCTGGAATGACTTTTGTGAATGGAATGGCTTATTTATTGAATTCTCTTTTTCCTGATATTATTTTAGTGATCCAATTATTCATTCATCATCTGGAGAACGTTCATCGGTGAAGGAATTACTTCAAAAATTGATTCTTGAGGATGAACAGTTTGCTGTTGAGGATATCTTACCAAATACCGTGCCAGATCCAGCATCATTAGATTTAACATCGGAATATGCATGTCCAGCTGGTCAAGTTGTAATGATTCCAGATTGTGTGCCATGTGCTGTCGGTTCTCACTATGAAGCTACTAATAAGACTTGTGTTCATTGTCCAAGAGGAACTTATCAATCAGAAACAGGTCAAACACAGTGCATTAAATGTCCAAATATTGCTGGACGTCCAGGAGTAACAATAAGCACGGGAGCACGTTCTGCAAGTGATTGTAAGGAACGTTGTCCACCAGGAAAATACTTTGATGCTGAAACTGGATTCTGTCGCTCTTGCGGATATGGATTCTTCCAACCAAATGAAGGTTCATTCACATGTGACCTTTGTGGACTTGGACAGACAACGAGATCAACAGAAGCTAAGTCACGGTCTGAGTGTCGTGATGAATGTACATCGGGAATGCAATTAGGAATTGATGGAAAATGTGAGCCATGTCCACGAGGTACTTATCGTGCTCAGGGAGTTCAACCAGCATGTCAAGCATGTCCATTAGGACGAACTACACCTAAAGTCGGTTCATCTGCCATTGAAGAATGCTCACTTCCAGTCTGTACGCCTGGAACTTACCTTAATGCCACTATAAATGTCTGTATTGAATGCCGTAAAGGCTATTATCAACCAGAATCACAACAAACATCATGTATACCATGTCCAGTTAATCACAGCACCAAAAACACTGCCGCCACATCAAAGGCTGAATGTACAAATCCATGTGAAACTCTTACAGAAGGTCATCAACATTGTGATGCCAATGCATATTGTATTCTTGTTCCTGAAACATCTGATTTCAAGTGCGAATGCAAGCCAGGTTTTAACGGAACTGGCACTCAGTGTACAGGTTAGTAATTTACAATAATCATTGTTGTAGACATAAATAATAAATTGTATGTCCTATTTTTAGATATGTGCGATGGCTTCTGTGAAAACTCAGGTCAATGTGTCAAAGATATTAAAGGAAGTCCATCATGTAGATGTAAAGGATCATTTACAGGTCCAAAATGCGCAGAGCGATCAGAATTCGCATATATTGCAGGTGGAATTGCCGCCACAGTTATATTTGTTATTTTCATCGTCCTACTTATATGGATGATTTGTGCACGTGCCAGTAGACGAAAAGATCCAAAGAAAATGCTTTCACCAGCAATCGATCAAACAGGATCGCAAGTGAACTTCTATTATGGAGCACATACGCCATATGCTGAGAGTATAGCACCATCACATCACAGCACTTATGCTCATTACTATGATGATGAAGAAGATGGCTGGGAGATGCCAAATTTTTATAATGAAGGATACATGAAGGAGGGTTTACATAGTAATGGTAAACTTAACTCACTAGCTAGATCAAATGCATCACTTTATGGTAACAAAGATGATCTCTATGATCGATTGAAACGACATGCCTATACTGGAAAGAAAGGTAAAAGCCAAATGAGTAAGTTAATTAATTTAATGAACCTTGATTTTAATCAAATATTTTGTTAATTCTTTTCATCCTTAACAGAGAAGAGCGATAGTGACAGTGAGGGACAATAGGATTAGATTTGAGAGAAGACTAAAACGGTATTAATTTAATTCATCAAAAAAACAAATTCACATACGCACAAATTAAGCTCCAAGTAGTAAATTAAATTAATTTAAATCTGGTCAATGTGTGCATAAACTTTATATCCTGAATTTTTCGCAATTTGATACTTAAAATGATGTGTCTGTGTCATCTCATACGATTTATATTTAACGGATTTTTTGAAAATTATGAACCAATTTCAGGTCATATATAATAATTAATGAAGCCAACTTCAGGTTTGAGAAAAAAAAATCTTTGTTTAGTTCAGTGTTGCATTCTGGCGATTTGTCTGGATCAGATAAATTCTGAGACAGAAATTTCTTCATAAAGATCGATTCTACATGAAGATAGAAAATCTAATCTACACAAAGATTATTTCTACATAAAGATTCGATGTAGATGTCTACAATTCTACATTCTTCTCTGATGTAGACCTAGAAAAAATGTAGAATTTGTATTTAGGAAATTTCAGCTAAGGAATTTACTTGACAGAATTGTAGACACTTGCATCGAATCTTTATGTAGACAGAATCTTTGTGTAGATTAGATTTTCTATCTTCATATAGAACCGATCTTTATGAAGAAAGTTTCTTAGCTAGACGAAAACTATTGAAGAATCTACGTTCTTCATCTAGTGTAGACATCTATATTTGCAACACTGGATAGATTTTATAAAGTTTTGCAAATTTTTATCGAACTAAGCCATTATTAACTAGCAAGTAGTTTCAATTTTAAAGCTCAAGCATGTTCCGATTTCATTCGTATGAGAATATATAGATACATTGACTTAATAAAGAAAGAAAGATCGATTCTTTAAATTAATGAAAGCAATTAGCAGCAATTAGCATACATACACGTTCTACTTAAACACATTTTAATGTAAAATTTATGAAAATTAATGCTAATTGTAGAAATGAAAACGATATTTCTCGAAGAATGTCTCGACAATATGTATAACGGTATTATGTGACATTTTTTTGTAGAATAAAAATATTTTTTCAATATTAATTCGATTTTTCTATTTATCAACAAAAGAAAAAGTTTATCCATGAATAGAAAAATTGAATTAAATGTTGTAATTTGGGGGGAAAATTTAAGAGAGAAAGTAATTAGGTCCCTTAAGACTTAAGTAGATAAAAGAAATGAAAAAAATATACTCAATTCAATAATTAACAGTGTATTTATGTGTAAAATTATTAACGTTTATTATAAGCTCACGATTAATTTTATTGTTTCATTACTTCTGATGAAAGCAAAATCCAATTTTTAAAAGAAAGACAAGCAAGGTTTCAGCTTACAACGACACTCAAAATTTTTTTTTCAACTTAATGTGAGCTTTCTTTACCATGTAAATGCATTTTTTTTTTTATTATTTTTGTTTGTCGTTATTATTATTATTTTGTATCATCCATTCCGCAAAGTTATTTGAACAAAAAAAGGTTTAATTAGAGATTATTATGTTGATGAGATGAAAGAAGAAAATTGTAATTTAAAAAAAGAAGAATAAGTCCATAAAAGAAACAGATTTAAATAAAGAAATATAAAAAAAATTAAGAACATCATATTTTTATGATCATTTATTGATAAAACAATAATATTGGTATATTCCTTTTAAAAGGGTTGTTATATCTAGCCAGAGCTCGAAGTCGACTTTGAGCTCTGTATCTAGGGTAATAGAATTTTAGTATATAGACTTAATCGTGTCGTTTCCTTAATTTAAATGTTTTATTGAAAAGAGAAACATGAAATGCTCAAAAACTTGCTTACAGCATAATAATAAATCTTAATAATTTCTATATTCTTCAATAACAGAGCATCCAAAATTATCACGCGATAACTTATAATACTTTTCAGCTCTTTCCAGAGTTTTGACGAAATTCTCATCGTGAGTAATGATGATCAACATAAATCGTCCATTATCTCTCTCAGCTACTAATTGTGCCAGTGCATTGCTCAAACTGGTGACATTATTATGATCAAGATTTGTCGTTGGTTCATCGAGTGCTAAAATACCACAGGAACTGCTAAATGTGTCAGATAAAGCAATACGAATGATTAAAGATGCAAGAACTTTTTGTCCAGCAGAACAGCGACCACGCATGTCAATTTCAGCAGTTCCTTTAACTTGAACAACACGATAGCTGTAACTACGACGAGTCCTTTCAGTATTTATGGTTGTTGTTGCTGCTGTCTGTTCCTCTTCAGTCTTAATCATAATGTGATCAATGTCATTTCCTTGATAAATGCTGTTCCACAATTCCTTCATAATTTGATTAATTTGATCCATTTTCTCTTGATGATATTTAAGTAGTGCCTTTTCTAATGCAGCTGCATATTTCTTTAAGTCACCAACAGCTGCACTCATGACTGCTTCTTCAATTACAGCATCATTGTACTTTTTCTTCGCTTCCTTAAACTTTGGTTCCATCAATTCCTTTTGTGCACTTTTTATTTGATTCTTTAATTCACCTTCCTGGCCAGCCATTTTATGACGACTTGAGATGATTTTATCAATTTCTGTAAGCACTTCCATTTTCTCTTTATTCATCTTTTTGAAATCTAAATTGCCAATTCGACTCTCAAGCTTGGCTAGATTATTTTCAGCTTCAATCTTCTCTTCAGCTAGCTTTAATAGATCAATATTGTCTGTAATATTTCTGCGTGTTGTTTCCTGATTAGCCAAGACACTATTTAATTCCTGAATCTCAATTGCCTTCTTTTTAATCTGTTCTTGAATCGATTTTTCAGCAGCTTTAATCTTTTCAACATTGCTTTTAAGTCTATCTAATTCACTGTCTAAATTCATCTTCTCAAGGACATCAATTTCCCTTTCCAGACGTTCAATATCTGCTTGATCAACTTTAAGCTTATTCATTAAATCCTGTTCCTTATCAATTTTATATTTATGCTGATCACGAGCTTTCTTCATCTCAACTTGATATAATTCGAGCTTTTTTGTTGTTGGACCTAAATTTTCTTCATTTGCCTTGATTTTATCTTCGAGATCCTTTCGGTCTTCTTTTAATTGCTTAAATTGAATCTTAAGTAGATCCATTTTCTGAACACGTTCTTGATATTCATTCTTCTTTGTATTCAAATCATTTAATCGCTCACGAGTGTTCATTAATTCAGTTTGGAAAGAGTTTATTTCCTCATTAAGTTGCTTGACTTTTTCATTATTTGCCTTAACTTTCTCACAAAGTTCCTTCCTTTCAGCCTGTGCTTCTTGCAATGATTTTTTGGGGACATTACTTGGAAGTTTAGCTTTTAAGACATTGACATCCTTTGTTTTTGTGGTGTTTGTACGTTGTAACTCATCAAGCTTGCAAATATCAGCAAAGAATGATTGAGAAATAATGTTTAATAAACCTTCAGGTTCAGCAACAACTGCTTCGAGATTCTCCTTTTCTTCTGCTTTTTGCTTTAATTTATTCTCGAATTCCTTTTGTTGTGTTTCGAGCTTTGACTTTTCCTTATTTAACTTATCCAAATTATCATATGATGACTTGAGTTGAAGTAATTTTTCATACATTTTCTTTTCTTGTGTTAATTTGGTATTTAAGGCATTGATCTTTCTTGGAAGTTCCTCAATATTCTCTTCCAGTTCGGCTGTAAAGAGAATTGTAATTTATTATTTTTAACGGATTTTTGAATTTTAAATTTCTTAACGGGTTTTAGATTTTCAAAATTTTTTATTATCTGGAGTTTCATAATTTCAAATAATTTTTGGCTGTTATATTATTCAAATAAATTATGACCGTTACAAACCTTTCAGCTTATCAACATCATCTTCTAAATCTTTATGACAAAGTGGACAGCATGGAGCATCGTTGATTTTATCAATGAAATCTTTATAAGTATTTTTTGACGATTCTTTCACAGCCAGTTCCATATTTAACTTTTCAACTTTTTCCTTTTGTGATGCCAAGTAATTAAGATATTCTTCGAGCATGCAAACATCACCAATATCTTGTTCAATTTTATGAATCTCTTGATCTTTTTGTTTCTGTTGAGCACGTAGACTTGTTCGTTGATCTTGCATTCGATCATGTTCACGCTGTATATTTTGAAGTCGTTCTTTATTACCTTTAACTTCACTTTCCAGTTCCTCGCGTTTTGTTTGGACTTTTGAACGGAAATTAGCATCAACAGTTTGCTTTCCAAATAAATTTTTTAAGCTTGACGAAACTTTATTTTTAATTCTGTCGAATTCTTTCTGATCTTTTGACAAATCATTTTGCTTAGAATCAAGCTCAACGGTGACTCGAGAGACTGACTGCAGAATTTCTATGTCATTTTCAATCTTATGTAAACTATCTTCAAGTTCTATGACATCAAATCCAATAGTTTCTTGTTGTTCCTTTAGTTCATCGACTTTATTTTCATCATTAAGCTTGTTTAGCTTTTTCTCGACTTTTTCAATTTGTGGATTTAACTCCTTTAGCATTGGAATGGAATTTTCGCAATCTTTTAATTCATTTTGGATCTTTACAGCGCCGGCTTTATTGTTATTTAAAGTTTCACGTTGAGTTTTCAAATTTGTTTCAATTTTAGTCTTTTCTTCGCGCAGTACATCCATCTTGCCATGAAAAATTTGCTCATCTTCTTCAGCCAGCTTTTTTAGTGACTGAATATTCTTATCTTTTTGGACAATATTTCTCCTAATATCCTTAAGAGTTTCACCGACATCTTGTGTATTTGCTGCCTGATCTGCATCGTAATCAAAATCAAGATTTAACACAGAACAAATGTCTTTGACTTTCCCAAAACGTTCGGATTTTAGTTCCTGCAGCTTTTGAATCTTATCGGTACAATTTGAAGCTTTCAAGTTTAAATCATTCAATGATTTTTGCTTCTCACGTTCATCATTTACTAATTTTGTGTGCTGGTGCTGCAATGATTTTAATTTATCCTTCTGTCCTTGCTGATTTTCAATAAAATTAGCCATTTCACATTCCAAGTCATCAATAGTTCCGGTGAGTTTTTTCTTGATTTTTCCTTCAAGCTTAGTGCTTTCTTCTTCCTTGTTGGTGATTCTATTGATTTATAATGTTATTTAATAATACTTACAATAGCTAAAAATGATTATTATGACTTACGTTGCTTCGTACGACTTCCTTTCAATAATTAATTTAGCATAATCCTTTTCCTTCATCATGATTTGATCTTTTTTTGCGTTCAACGGTACCATTTGCTCTTCAAACTCTTCGTATGCCTTTTTAATCTTTTCCAGTTTACTCTCAGTATCTAAAATTTCCCGTTCCTTTTTTTCAACATCCATTTTATATCCTAGCTCGACTTTTTTTGCATTAATTGCAAAACTTAATCTATCCTTGTAGACTTTTATGATTTTTTCGATCTTGCCAATTGCATTATTATATTCTGTAGTTCCAAAAATTGCATCAAACTTCTCCTTTAGCTTTTTTCCTTCATCTAGTGGCCAATTTGAATCTTCTTGATGGCAGAATATGACGTTATTAAGTATAGCTTTTGAAACTCCCATCGATTCACACATATGATTATTAACATCATCCACACGACCAGCAGTAAAGCTATCATGAGTTCCACTGTATTTGATTGTTGAGTCAAAAGTTTGAAATTTTGGTTTTCCTTTTACTACTTCAACTCGCATGGATCGAAATACTGTTTTATCAACACCATTTGGATCTGTAATCTTTAATTTAACTGCTGTTACATATGTTATTCTGGTTAAATGAGATTACTGTAACTTACTGTAAGTTCGACTCGTGCATCACTTTTCTTTTTATCTTTCATTAATTTTACATCGTGTACAAAGTTCTTTCCTTTGTCAGATCCAATTGGCAAATCACCTGTTATTGCATACTTTAAGCACTCAATGATTGTAGTCTTGCCACATCCATTTTCTCCAACAATTAATGTTAAAGGTGTGCTAAATTCAATTTTCTGTAAGTAATTTTATTATTTGACTTGTTTATGACTTTAAAGCTATTAGCAAACCTGTCTGTCATCACCAAACGATCGAATACCCTGTATATTTAACTTATTTATCATAGACATTGTCGAATATAATGTAATTAACTTAAAAATCAATTATTTTTGTGAAATTGTGAAATTATTATTTGTTTTGCCGCTAAATTATGTTTACAATATTTTTGAATATTTCACAACCGTTATGAATAACGACTTTTTAATTTTCAAAATAAAATAAACGTGCAACAACCTCTTTATTTCAACATAAATTTCATAATTCTCAATATTTCATCTAATTAAGCTTTACAGCCATTATGAGTGACGATTACCTTAGTAAACCATTGTCAATCGGTGATAATGACTTAGGGCTAGCACCAGGTAATTAAGTTTTTTAAAATTATTAAGGAAACAGTGTAAAATAATGAAATTTACATTTTCAGCACCTAGACAGACTATTCCAAAATTTCAATCTCCATACCTTAACTATGATACTCGATATATGAGACAGGCACAGCCTGAATTTATATTCCCCGAAGGAGCATCAAAACAAAGAGGAAGATTCGAGCTTGCATTCAGTCAAATTGGATCTGCAGTAATGATTGGTGCTGGGATTGGAGGTGCAGCTGGATTATACAATGGAATGAGAGCTACATCCTTAGCAAATCAGACAGGAAAACTTCGAAGGACACAAATGCTTAATCATATAATGAAACAAGGAGCAGGAACAGCAAATACACTTGGAACAATCGCCGTCATGTATTCATTATTTGGTGTAATTTTGTCACAAGTCAGAGAAGATGATGAAATTAATACAGTAATAGCAGGAACAGCATCGGGATTATTCTATAAATCTACAGCTGGACTCAGAAAGTGCGCAATTGGTGGTGGTCTTGGACTTGCAATTAGTTCTGCTTGGGTTCTATATAATTTGTCAGGATCTAAATTTAACAAAAATTACATGTAAGAATACTTTCCCGAAAAACTAAGGTTTAATGCTAATATGTATAGAATATAGGCGAATAAAACATAAATAAACTATGTTTAATTCTTGAAATCTGTAACAGTCAAACAATGTTTAAATTTGTTCGAGGGGAAACTCACTTTTGTGTTTTTTGAGGAAAATTCTTAAAAACATCTGAAATAATTTACTCCATTTTTATATACATTAATTAAGCTTTCTGGGCTATTGTATAGTATACACTAATTGATCTTCAATTAAATTACATAAATTAGTTTGCGTAATAAAAGAAACAAAGCAGAAAAATGGATTTAGAACTTAAAAAGGTACGAGAAGGTTAAAAATTCTATTAAACCGCTTAATTACATTAATTAACGATATTTTAGGCATTTACTGAGATGCAGGTAAACAAAATTGAGACAACTAAGAAGTTACGAATCATAGATTCACAGATTGACATGCTTAAAAAGTCAAAACAACGATTGGAGCTAACGTCAAGAGAACTTAATGGATTAAGTAAGAATGGTAATGTTTATGCTGCTGTAGGACGTATGTTTGTAATGTCATCAGTTCCTGAGATAAAGGATGACTTGAAAGTTAAACAGGATAAGTTGGAAGGAGTTATTGAGAGCTGCGATAAGTCAAAAGACGTTCTGCAGAAGAATATTAAAGGACAAGAAAATGCTCTTCGAGATTTGGTCGATGCCAAGAAAAAGGAATCAAAATAAATTATGCTTTACACGTCTTTTTCATTAATTACTCATTTAATAAATTTCATATTATTTAACAAATTCCTTAATAAATTGTCTTTGAGATTAACGATCTTTTGAAATTTAAACCTCCTTTCGAATTGATAGCTTAATTTTCAGAATGTTTTGTTCAGTTTGTTTGGCAATACTACTTTGACAACTGTTCTTGTGAAGTATAAGGATTTCATGTAAAATTGTGTCTTTGATAAAAACAAGAACTTAAATCATTAATTTTATTATTTATGATTTGAATACGAAAAGTAGATGATACATTAGCTGTTCTGACTATTTTAAAAACTTTAACAACATTATTGAGTGATATTTTTTAAGTTTCATTTTCGATTGTTTTTGTAAACAAACAACTCGCGACAGTTAAAATTTGAAAGTCGTTTTAAAAAATATCAAATTAATTTTGTTATTTTAATTATGTTAAGGCAGCAATTTTAATTTTTTTATGAACTCCAACAAAGCAGGATTAAATTTCTGACCAAAAAAATACATTATGATGATATGTCAATAAACATGGGATTAAGAAATGGGAATTTTAATTCTGTTTTTAAAAAGTAGCTCTTAAATTTGTCACTTTTAAGGATAAGGAGATAATCAAGAAAAACATAGCATCATTCACGTACAATTTGTTTGTGACGAGGCTCATTAAAAAGCGCTTCAGTCAGTGATCAAGTTACGTGCGAGTTCAATTATTCTCATAGAAATTTTTTAGAAATCTTAATTCATTTTTCTACGTAAATCACAGATTAACCGAATAAGTTATATTGTAAGTATATAATTGGAAATAAAAGCAATCAGAATATAGTGAAATTAATATAAAATTGTGAGGAAGAGTTAAAGATTAAAGGTGAAATAGATAATCCATGAATTTTTTAAAAACCTGTTTTTTTCACTTTGTACAATTATCGGAAAGTTTAAGTATCTCTGATAAGTAGTTTAACATTTTGTCAAGGACATGAGATATTCCACAAGAATGAGTAACGAAAAAGCTCTTATCTCATGCTGACTAATGAGAAATAATTACTAATTTCATAAATAATGTAAAACGGTGATGTGGTTCATTTTATCCAGTTTAATAGATTCCAATACATACCTTTTCAGATAATACAACATACAGTAAAATGAGCGATAACAATTCAACAGATAATGAAAATCAGCCTCGTGGGATTGGTGCGGTGAAAATCCATATGATGGAAAACAAAATTGAGACTGCATTATGGGTTTCAAGAGTTCTATCGATAGTTTTTGCAATTGGATACCTTCTTCCAATATTTGGGTAAGTTAACATACATACATGAGTTATTGATTATTCTCTCTTCATCTTTATAAATTATTCAATCAACATACACATTTAACGTTATTTTGTACATTATAGAAGCTCCCAAAGTGCATTCTATAAAGTGCTAATTTCGAATGCAGCAACATCAGCGCTACGATTGCACCAGCGATTGCCTACAATCCAATTTACAAGAGAATTTTTGGCACTTTTATTACTTGAAGATTCATGCCACTACCTTTTCTTCTCACTCATCTTCTTATACGTTCAACCATTCATCGTAGTTCTATTTCCCGTTGTTTTATTTGCCGTGCTTCATTCGGCTAGTTACTCATTGAAAATGCTTGATGTAAGTATATATGCAACAGTATGATTACGTCATTATTTTCGTGCTGTGTTAAAATCACACAGACTCTCATCATCATATTTATTCCCACATTTTGGTAGCCAGTGAAATTTGTGTGAAACCAGAAGCGCATTTCTTTGGTTTAGAGGCTTTTGAGAATTTGATAATTAACGGTTTTCAAAATATTGAAATTTATGCTTCCCTTTGAAAAATTCAAATTTAAACGGTTTTTCAAAAAGTCAGCCTATAAATAATTAAAGCGTAGAGAATGTGCTCATAGCCACAGAAGAACGAATTGTGGTGTACGCAATCAGTTGTGTCAATGAAGATCACTTGAATCATCATCTTATTCGTGTCTGGTTTTGTTAAAATAAAAGTTTGCGTGTGGCTTGAAATTCATACATATTCACGTGCTATGGCGTTGCGGTACATTGATTTAATATCTCACTTTTTCTTTAATTTCTATTTTTTTATGCTTTTCTTCCATCCAGTTACTCGGTCAGAATAGTTGGTGGGGTGCTAGATTATTAATTTCACTTGTTGAATTCCAACAAAGAAACATTTTGAGATTGATTGCCTTTTCCGAGATTTTCCTAATGCCAATCGCAATTGTCTCCACATTTACGTAAGTCTCTTATTAATCTTAATTGATCTAAACATGCTCATTAAAATTACATCTACAAATCTTGTCTTTAGTGGACGTGCTGGACTAATGACACCGTTTATTTACTACCACTTCTTGACCTTACGATACACATCACGTCGTAATCCACATACTCGCAACATGTTCCATGAATTGAGATTAGCTGTTGAGAATATTGCAAACAATCCAAAAGCACCACCAATTATTGGAAAAATTTTACACGGTGCTATCCGTTTAGTTAATCGCATAGCACCACCAATGCAGCCGCAACAACATGCCCAGTAAGGAGCTTTATATATAAATATATATTTTTTTTTTGAAATTATGGAAAAGTCATTTTGACGGGTTTTCAGTCTTCATTTTGGTAAGATGGATATACTTTAATTTATATCCGTATATTTCTTGTAACATTGTAATTTTTATGATTTAATAATTATATTTATAATAATCGTATTTCATGGAAATGGAAGTTCTTTTTATTCTCCTTCAACGAATTGGTTGTTTTTTGGTTCCCAATGACATTTTCTTGCATATCAATTAACTTTGTGGGATGTCGATTTGTTGTTCCTGCTAACGGCAATAATATTTTTGAATGTGGCTTAACAATATTTAAATATTCGAAAAACGTTAAAAATTCAAATCACAAAAACCCGGTAAATATAACTTTAGTGACACAAGCTATGGAGTTTTATCTATTAATTATCATTGGCAAAAATAAAATCAAACAGAACTGACCACCCATAAGCCCCACAGACAAACACAGAGAAAAATATTTGAGAAAAACAAAATAACTTTTCAATGAGATCAGCCCACAATTTTGTTTACTTCATTTTAAAAGACATTTTGCAAGAGAATGTCACTAAGTTATTCGCTATTATCGAGTGTTTGTTTATCCCTTTTTGTACTGTTAATTGTTTTACAACCAACCCTCCCCGCTCATCCACAAGTGTTTCTCATGATAACTAATTTTGCAAATAAAATTGATTGAAAAAAAAATATGTCAATAAAAAATAAATTAAATGCCTTGCTTTATTGATCCATTAAAGCTATTTTTAGATTTCCTTTACAGACACAAGCTGCGAATTGGATTTTCATTAACTCTTCTTTTTCATAGAAAACCACAACAAATCAACTTCCTTTTCACATCTCTTTTTGGATGTTCGTTTGCAGCCATACATGAGACTTACTTGAAGATATCTCAAATGACGTTAGACTGTGAATTTTTAAAGGTTTCAAATTGCTTTAAAAGGATGTGAAAGTTGGCTTTGACATAAATTAAGCAAAATTTAAGAATCTAAAATTTTTTGGACAAGAATCAGCTGCATGCGTCATGATTGACTAGTTTCTAGAGTTAATAGACGGAGCCTAGGAGCCTCTAATGTAATCCAAGCCCCCTTAATTCTGAAACTATCTAGATCCTTTGAACCATTCTCTTAGAGTCAACTTTAGAATTTCAATGTCCTTAATACATCGAACCAAGTGATTAAAGCTGTTTCCTTATGCTTTTAATACTGACAACAACCTCGTTGAAGTTTTTACTACTGCTTGTACCAGGAACGTAGCCAGGAATTTGAATAGGGGGGGACAAATTTTTTTTGTATGGAAAAATTTGAGGGGGGGGGGGGTGATTTTTTCATAAAAACCCTGGCAAAATAAGGAAATTTCTGTTTAGATTGAGGGATTTGTCCCCCAAATCCACCCCCCCCCCCCACTGGCTTGTACGTAATGATCGGAAGTTACACGTAATATGGATTATATTTATGCTCAGGTCCCAACAAATCCTGCAAGATCGAACTGAAGATATCTTGATTGATGTTGATCTTAGCTTAGAAGCAAAATTGTCACAGCTAAGTTGGTAGCAATTCAAGACTTAAAACTAAGAATTTGATTATTGTGAGATGTAGGAACGGGTCAAGAAAAATTAAGAAAGATACAAGAACCGTCAATTCTTCATTCAGGGTTTTGTACTGGATCGAGTCTAAAAACAAATTGCAACGAGAGCTGACCTGGAGACTAGTTCTTAATACTGAGTATTTAATTGGCTGCTTTACAAAACATCTGTGTAAAGGAAGGGGGTCACGTGCATGTGACATTCAATATAAAAATAGTAATTTGGAGGAAGCTTTTGCAGCCTACAACTTTTGCACAGTAGATAAGAAATCTTATCAATACCTATAATCGAAAGTACTAAGTCAGCAGACAACTTACTCATCATTACTAGTCTTCAAATGCGCATTAAAGAAAAAACCTACGAGACTCCTTACTTGCTTAAGAAAATTAATAATTGCTGTTCTGAAAATGTTTTAATGAAAACTGCTCGTGTCAGATGAGCTTTTTTCTATCCTTTCAATACATATTTTCCTATCAGAGCATATTTTTGATTAATCTAGAATGGAATTTTTCGCTTTATTTTATTTACTTTTTTTTTGTTCGAGAAAAGAAAATTATGTTTTCCTTAATTGACATGCTTCAAAAAACATGTCACCCGTATCCACGCTTTATTTTCTCTCATAATAATAATAATATTTTACAAAAAAATAATTAGGAAAGAAGAATGGGGAGTCGCATGTAAGTAGAGCTATATTGAAAGAGGAATTTAGTCATTTGAAAGATGGGGGATGTAAAATGACTGAAGGGTGAGAAAATAAAGTTATTGACAAGAAAAATAGAAAAGATTAATTAGAATGATGTCATGAACATGTATTTTTTATGATTATGAATAACATATAGCTACTGTGTCTTGCAAGCTGAGATTTTATTTATCATAGATTTAAGAAGAAAGCGACGACAAGGAAAGTGTTGAGGATAATTTTAAAATTGACTTCAATGTTAAGTAAATGGCAACAAGGATGCGTAATATTTAGAATTGTATGTTTGTATAGTTTTGTATCAAAACTTACAGTTTCTAAAGGATCTAAGGTCAAATCACTTTTGATCTCCAAGATATAACTTTATGGAGAACGACTTGAGGCCGAAGTCCCCATGTTGTTCTGGCATAGGATTTCGTCTCGATTATACGACTTGTGCTACTCGGGGACATCAGCTATCATAAGTAATGAAAGCCTTGGCAAAACTAGTAGCTTTTGAGTATTAACATTTATCCTACCTCGATATATTTCTAGCTTCGTCCGTAAATCATAAAAATTCTAGCTTGCCAAGGGCGTAGCCAGGGGGGGGGGCCATAGGGGGCCCGCCCCCCTACGAAAATCTGATAATTGTTTTATTAAGTATTTACAGAGAAGAACCAGTTAATGTAGAGGAAGTGATGAAAGAAATGTCAAAATCAGCACGAAAAATTAAATTTAATGCATGAATAATGAATTAAATATTTAATCTTATGAAGAATGAATATAGATTTAAGGATACAAAATAACGGTTTTTTAATTTTCGAAAATGGGCCCCCCCTTAAAAATTTTCTGGCTACGCCCCTGTAGCTTGCTATTGTAACACTTGTTTACTGGATCTCAAACCGTCTAGTTTAAGTTTCTTTTAAGCTTTACTCTGTAAACACTTAACTAGGGTTTGACAAAATCAATTTGAGTTAAGTTCACAAGTAAAGTTCATCGAATTCAATTTTATTGCTGGATGCAGTTAAGTGCCTTGCTGGTCGAATAGGTAAGGCGCTTGGCTCAAATTTGGGATGGTAACTCGAAGGTCGTCGGTTCGAATCCAGCCATTTCCAAATTTGTTCTTTTTCAGAAGTTTAGATACTTCGACTGCTTAATATACGAGATCAAGCCATAATTGGGCATTTTGAGCAACGTTGGATTAAGGAACGGATCAGGAACTTGAAGTGTAGCGGGAGAAAAAGGAACGAGAGCTACAAGATTACCTTATAATGGAATATTGTCAGAACGGACCTGAAATGTATCACGTCACGCCCACAGAAGATTGAAACGAGAGCCTGAATTTAATCGAAACCTAGATTTGAAGATTAGAAGCTTGATTCTACGTCACCCATAGTGATATGAAATGTGTCACTAATCAATGTAAAAAGTAAAACATGTATAAATACTAATTCTTCCGGACGGTAACGTCGACAAATAAATAATAATAATAAAATGTCACCAAAAAGCGTCATCTTAGTGACTTAATCATGACTAAGGACATCACAAAAACTACAGCCATTTCATAGCTCAAAAAAATAATCAATAAACCCATATATAGCACTCCAAATTGAACTCAACAAACATCAGACGAAAATGAACCACAAGGAAAGACTCTTCTTACCACAACAGACTCCACAATGTCTAGATGGTTCACCAAAAATTGATTTTGGTAAAAATAAATAAAATTTTAATTACCCTGCATTTATTTCACATGCTTTTTTTTTGTGTATAGCACATGATGTAGTCAGTCAATCTTAGCCAACGCCTTGAAGTAAAAAATAAAAAATATTGCACAGACCGCCATTGCTTAAAAATATTTGTGGTTAATATGTATTGTACACATATCTCGTAAGCAAGAGCAAAGCTAAGGTATATCATTGAATATGAGAAGAGAAAAGATACATGCATACCATTCGGAGATAGAAAAACCATCGGCATAAAATATTGATTGCGAATTTTTTTTTATGAATGAAAATGTTTATGATTTTTGTGCTGCACAACCGCAACATTTTTTTTTATGATCGAATGCAAAAGAAACGCAGAAACGAAGGTAAGCAGCGAGAGATATAGCAAGAGATAGAGATTGAAATGCATTTGAAATTGCAAAAATATTCATTTCAACATTTAATTAACTTTTTTTTACTCTTGCTTACTTGCTTGCTTTGTGTCACTTTATGGCGAAACATAAACTTTGTCATAATTTACTTAAGAATTCCATACTCGGATCAATTTTCAGATAGTTGGTGATCAGAGTTGTTAAGTTGGATGTATGGATTTACAGAGAATGTCATTGCTGAATGTTAGATGATTCAGATAACACCAATAAAGGTATTGATCTAGCTATGTTATGTTCAAACCCTACGATTTAAGTTTAACTCTAGGTATAGGTCAAAGGTGAGCTGAAGTGGCTCGGTGGCGGAATGGTTTAGTACTTCGGTACCTAATTATTTTGTACTTGTTGCAATAGCGACACAACGATCAAGGGTTCGAGAGTCGAGGCAGAAATGTCATCAGGAAGTGGTTCGGATCCCACTGTAAACTGTAGGTCTAGGTTTGAGCGGTCCCTTAGTTATTGCCCCGCGAAGTCCTAGAAACTAGCTTAATACATCGCTATTTGTCAAAGCTAGTCGTGTCCTATGCCACAGACGTCTCCCTATAAAGCACATTCCAAGATAACAACCCTGCAAAGGAGATAATATTGCAATGCTTTCAACACAGCACATTTGGAAGCCTTAAAAATGCTGCATGGAAAATCTCACGCAAAATTTCTCAAATTCTAGGCAAACGAAGACGAGTTTCATGCTGATCTTAATTTCATTAAGTATATCAAATTCAATGTACTTTTATTTTCTTCCTCATTTATGTGCACAAGTTAAACCACAGAGATTATTGTATCAGACCTGATAAGCGAAAAAAAAAATAACTTTTTTTATAAGCGGAAGATATCTTAAGTAATTTGCTCTTATCAATGTTCCTGAACAAACAATATCGTGGGAAAAATTTAAGTACTATGTGGGATTTCACTTCTACAATGTCCGAATTTATATAATTTTTTCTGAGGTTTTTCTGGTTTTGTTCATGAATTTTCCCTCGGTATTTAGTACTAGAAAATATTTATTGAGCAAGTAAGAAATTATTGGATACGAGATTTTGGGTGTGCTGAATGCAATTTATGGACTTTAGTTGATGTATTGATACGTATTGTCGTACTCAAGAAGGCCAAGGGTAGGATAGCATTTTGATGCCATCAAGGAAAAGATGTGGAGCTGATCAATGGAGAATTATCAGTTCTACACCTTTGAATCAAGAAAAACCTGATTAAAATTGAATCTGCACTAGAGTTCTTCCCACCAAAGGATTAAAATCACTGTCTTAAGCTTCGTTAATGTTAAAAACCTTTATCCCAAAAATACAGACTATCTGTAACAACAAGCACACAAAAACCAGTTCATACTTCCTTCCAAGCACCAATAAGTGTAATTCTGAGAAAAATGTTTAAGTTAATAAAGCAAGAAGTATGTTCAAAAGATAGAAATTAATCTATAATAAAATTTAATTAAATTAATTTACTTGTTTATTGAATTACATGAAAATTAAATTGAGCGTATCCGTTGCAGCAGAGAAGGAGAAGCAAAAATATTTTCTTGTATTATTATGTATGTTACCTGTAATAACTGTTTATCCTCTTCAAAACCAATTCCCGACAATGCTCAATTATCTGACAAAAAACCTGAACTGTGAAAATATAAACTGTTCTTTTAGTTCCTCCTCTTTTTAATTTCATGTAATCATAATATTTTGATTCTTAGCACTCAAAGCAGTAATTTTTAATGGGAACAATGTCATTCGCTAGCTTGAAGACGGACATTATAGGTTGCCTTTTTGAAATGAATTGAGGAAAGACTTATCAAGAATTAATAAGTTCAAAATATATAACATTTATTCAACAGATGGTATGTGATTAGAGTAGTGGAAGTAGTAGCAATAGAAGTATATTTTTTATTGTGTGAAAAAAGGAGCCGATTGCGTGCAATGAATAATAGACATGCAACAACAGTAACGGCAATACACAAAAAGAATGTGTTGCACCAACAAAAGACACGTCTCATCTTCATGATATCGATTCCTTTTTAATTCATCCATTCGGAAATTGCCGGGCATTATAAATTTCATGTATGAGTATTATGATGAAGTCACTTTAAATTGCAACATGTTGCTGTATTCAGCTTTATGATTGACATCAATCCAACACACACACAGACACACACACACACACACACACACACACACACACACACACACACACACACCCGATTGTTACTTGCTCGTTCAATGTTTCATCTCCTTTTCGCATTTCTTTATTCCCTGGATCTTAAGATAGTTTTAGAATTCGATACCTTTGATGGTTGCTATGATACTGTAAGATTGAGAATACCTAATTTAAGATATTGATAGCTTTAAGAATCATCTTTAATTACAGAATTTTGTCAAATTGAATTTTTTACATGTCTAATGCGCGTCAATTGACTGATTCTATTCAAAAATGACACAAATTTGATAAATTTTAAATTTAAAAATCCGTTTCCTTTAAGTTTTGATTAATTATGCGCACAATTTGCTATTTACAACAGTTCAATTCAAACTCATAAATCCTCACTTCTTCCCATTCCATCCTCAGCTCATAAAGGTAAATAAAATTAAATGTGACAATTCGAACGAAGTAAATTTTTGAGGATAATAATTTTTAAATCGGAAACATGAATCAATTTTTGATAAAGGAATTCCATTTAACAGCACACATCCATCCACAAAAATAAAACCAGAAGAAAATCGATTCATTTAAACCGCAAACTGATATCAATGAGCGCTTTTTTTGCATTTTTCATTTGATGTACAGATCTACATATTGTTTTTTATATGGAAACAACGAAAAAAATCACCATCATCATAAAACCGAGGTCTTTATGAAGTTCCGATTTATGCGAGAGGATAATAATTCATAATTTTTTTCTCTCATTCTTTGTTGTTATTGTTACAGGAAGTTGCAGAAAATTGCCATCCGATACAAACAAATCGTGTGTGGATGGAAAAATTGTTTAAATTGATGTAGTGCAGAATAACATTAAGTTTTTTTGTTGCTTCTCTTAAAATCGATTTTATTTCACTTTCTGTTTTTTTTTTGATTATCGAAATTCAAGAAAGAAAAATATTAAATCAAGGAAAAAAGATCAAGAGATCAGTAATGAACATATCAGAAGAAAATGAGAGCAATGTTCTTGAAATAAGCTGTGATTTGTGACGCATTTATAGTTTGAGAATGATAGCAGTGTATTTGTAGGTTGGATAACTTAAGTTATAAGTCTAGTAATATAAAATGGAAACTAGAGTAAAAATTAAAATTTTTGATTTTATTCTAGTTTCAAAAAATCTAATTCTTAAATTAAATCATATTGATCATATTAAATGTATAGTTTTTGGAATAATGTGATCCTTTAAAAAGTCCTTAAAAAATGATCTTTAAAAGAATTAGGTTTGAATTTCCTTAGTATTCTAAGGAATTTAAGTTTAAAGTCTGCATTGTGACTACATAGTTCTACATATCTTCCCTGTAATCATTATTTTAAGGTTTAAAATGGACTTAAACACACTAAGGACATTTAATATAGAACCAAACTATTAAACAAAAAGATTTAATACAAAATATTCAAAATAATTTTTTGTTGATTCATGCGATTTTTAAATTTTTTTTTCTATTATCCTGAAAAGAAAACAAGTCCTGCAATTTTATACTTGTAATCTTTTTCTGAATTTTGGTCAAAGTTATTCAACTTTCATAAAAACAGTTAAAATGTTGATAGATAAAAAAACATAAAACATAACGGAAATTTTAAATTCAAACGAAATCAGAAATAAATTTTCCCAACCTACAATGAGCAGTTTGAGGCAGCCATAAGTTGAGCAATAACTTTAAAGAGAGAAATGAGAGCAAAAATTGTTGAAAAATTCTGTGCTTCTCACACTTGATAAATTAAATAATTTTCATGAGCTTCAACGATCAGACATTGATAGCAGACTATAGCAATTATACATTTCAAATAAAAAATATCATACAAAAAAATTGTAGCAAAACATGCGTTGTTTTGTAGATATCGAGAAGAAAATTCTTGTTCTGTGTGATGCATCAAGACAATGTGCTGAAAAGAACATTCTCAGTTCTAGATATAACATTAAAATGTACAAATATAATGGATAAATAATCATTTCTGCACTTTTTGCTCCAAAATAAGTAAAATTGAAGGTGCAATTTAATGAAACAATTTTTTTACTTCTTGTAATGCAATTTGTGCATTTTTCCGATCAATGCTGAGATAACGAATGAGATCAATCATGTGTGAAATGAATTTATGCATTATTATATTCACTATTTCTTATTAACAGCATTATCGACTGCCAATTGTGTAATTTTCTACATCAAAAAACTAGAAAATTTACGAGCTACTGATTTTAATAAGCACAACTATACGCAAATATTGAGAGGAGAAAATCTTGTAAAGTTTGTAACGATCGTCTGTGGAAATACTAAAAAAATTTTCTTTCTCACTTTGCCGCTCTCAAAAGCATCAGCAGCAAAAAAAAATCTACACAAGCAATGTTGTGTTGATAGAAATATACACATACACAGTGCCTCTCCGCATGCTTCATTCAGTAAAAAACTTTTTTTCTTTCTTCATTCAAGTTTCATTCACTCTACGTCTGTTGGTCTTCGCGGTCGGTGTGGTTTTAAAGAGTGCGTTTGGGTCTAAGAACAAAAAATTGTCTTTTGGTAACGTTAAAGAAAGTTGTTGGACATAAAATCAAGTGGAAAGGATTAAAAATTGGATGTGAAAAAAAAATTTAAAAAAAAATTTTAATTGTTCACAAAAATTAAAGCACTTAATGTGACTTAAAACACACATTTTAATGAAATATAAATAGAATTTTTGATAATTTTGTTGTATAATAAAGTATTTCATTGTAAAATTCATAAAAAATCATACAAATAAACATTTTATCATAAAACAGAAAACAATTTCTATCGCAGAGTTCGAGTGAAGCCGTGAATCACAACTCATTTAAGACCTAAAATCAAATTAAAACGAGCGATTTGAAACATTTTTTTGTGAATCGCAAGTGCTTAAGATAGTGAGAAATAATTCAAAATAGCGCCAAAAAATATTAATTTTATGCATCTGCCATCGGCAGAGCCTCAAAAAGCAATCGAGAGGAATTGGAAAAATAGTGAAATGTTGGTGGAAGAAGGTTCGAATACGACAAATAGCAGTAGTGCGTCACCACCAAAATCATTAGCTCCAAATGATTATTGGTGGACTGATCGAATGGTTATTCGTGCACAGGAAGAATATCCAGGTGAATTAGTTCGAACAGGAAGTCCATACTTCCTATGTTCTGCATTGCCTAATCATTGGCGATCTAATAAAACACTTCCAGTTGCATTTAAAGTTGTGGCATTAGGTGATGTTCATGATGGTACAATTGTATCAATTCGTGCTGGAAATGATGAGAATTTTCATGGTGAATTAAGGAATTGTACGGCAACAATGAAAAATCAAGTGGCTAAATTCAATGATCTTAGATTCGTAGGACGAAGTGGACGAGGTTAGTAGAACTATTAGATAATTATGGTGAAATGTGAGTGAGCCGACGGATCAAGTTTTTGTGATAATGCTGTAGAATGAAGTCATAGTTTACTATGTAAAACAATATGATGTATTTACATTGGAAGGAAATGTGTGAAAAATGTGAATCACTTCTCATATCAAAAGTTAGCTTAAAACATAACTTTTCGAAATTTGACCTTACAATCTACAGATAAATTTAAAATTCATCATATCATATTTAAATCATTCGACAAAATATGAACCTTTAACATACAGTAGCAACCACAGAACAAAACCACTAAGATGAATCCTTTTTTTCAACTTCTGATTGTGACTTTATTAAATATCAATATCATTCCATCTGTGGAAATCTTTTAAGTGTTCTTAAAGACTTATATCTTCAAAAAGTTGTGATAAAAAAGTAATAATCTGAAGTCAGTCAGTACTTTTCTGAGATAGATTTAAAAACTAGTTTTATGAAGAACTGAGAAATTTTCTGGGAATCAAATCAGAACTTTAATTTCGAATGAATAAAAATGTTTTAAGTAAAGCAATTTAATACTTTAGATTGTTGATTTGAGAATAAATTCTTCTTCTTTGTTTGATCCTTTATCTGATCATTTGGCGTTTGCTTAGTGTTAATCCGTGTTAATAAATTAAAATATGCTTAGCAATTTCAATAATTCAAAACTCAGCTAGATTTACTCAAAGATTTTCGGAAAATTAATTCTTCTTTTTGAAAGTTTTCATAATTTTTTACGATTTTTAATAATTTACATTTTGAATTTAGTATCAAGGTAAACAAATTTTGTTGCCTTATTTTAAAGCATTCACTAGGATCGATCTTAATCAAAAAGTGTTGAACAATATTTTCAAAACCATTAAACCAATTGTAAAAACTAATCGAACAAGTTCAAAAATAATAAGAATTTGAAGAAACAATTAAGGATCATAGAAATCAAAAGCATTCCATTTGTGAAAACTTTACAAACTCAAAATGAAAAATCACAAAAAAAAAGCTTTAATAATTTTGAAAAAAATAATATTAAATTTTGGTGTCATTTGCAAATTAAGTTACCAACTTTTTACAAAGAAGAGCGACCTGCCTATTCATGGTATTCATCTGCTACGATTTTTGATGGGATTTGGGCTTAATCCTTAGTCAAAATCATATATATTTTGAAATCTTTTGAAGATCATAATTTATTTACAATCCTTACGTGCGCCTCTATTATTATTCTACAGTTTCTGCAAAATTGTAACTTTTTTGCTTTTTTTTGGAATTATTCCCAGTCCAAAATGAACTTAATTCGCGGTTTTAAGTCTTATCAATTCTCAGAATTAGTTTTTTTTTCTGTCTCGTTCTCTTCATTATCTTAGCGTTTACATTGTCAATAAAATTAAAGTCGCAATTTATTTAAAATGAAGTCAAAAATCACGAATTCAGTGAAAAGTGCGAAATATAATTCCAACAAAGTCAAATTTGCCGATTTCCTCAATTAACAGATCATCCAAAATAAAACTCGTACAAAATTGCAAATAAATCTAAACAAAATCGCTTTAAAAATTGCAACAAAATTGAAAAGTCGATAATCTTTTGTGTATCTACAGAACCTTACAAAGAAGAAGAAGAAAGAAAAGATTGCCGAAAGCGAGCATAAATCTTATGATGAGCATAAAATCGACAAGTTGAATCTTTCACTGATTGATTTAAATGGTGTTAAGGTGATGTCTTGAAAGAACTAAGGAAATTGTGAATTTTTAGGATGATTAATTTAATTATTTTGCACAGCACGTGACTATGTACATTCATACCTTAAAATAAAGAGTTAATTTTAAGAGGGGAACCGAAATAATATTTATGCTGCAAACGATTGATGAAAATGATAAGTTTTAATGACCCTTTATAGTCTTATTTTCTATGAAGAACAAAAAAAAGTTTTACCTTTGTACATCAAGTCATTATAACTGCTCATTTACGAGATCATAGAAAGAGAAAAGAACTAGAAAATTTTTCATAATTTTTTTTGTGTTCCTTATTCTTCTTTGATACGAACATATTTAGATATGTATGACTATGGTCCAACATCATCAAAACAAGATTAATTCGTCAAAAGACAATGGAACTGAGCCGAAACAATAGTAAAATACGTACTTTGAAATATCTCAAAAAGGAGTTTGAAAGAAATCTCGTATTTATGAAAAATTTCTTCTAATAACTCATTTTTATATGTATGGTACATATGGGAGCTCACAAAGTGATTTCAACGCTATGAAATACTCGGCGTGTTGTGCTCGATTTCATTGTAATCATTTATATGTTCACATTTTTCAACCTTTTGACACAAGATTGTCTCATTATAATACGTTTAACACTTTGTAAAGTAAAAAAAGGAATAGTGGCGATAAATTATTGAAGCAAATTTATCAATGCTACATCTCATTTGAATAATTTTCTTTCTTTCATCGTCAAGCTTAAAAATCACAAAAAAAGAAATTGGAATGTTCATAAACAAAATTTATTTATTATTATTTTCCTATTTTCTTTTCTGGGGCTATAGGTAAAAGCTTTACAATAACTATAACAGTTTCAACTTCACCGCCACAAGTTGCTACTTATACGAAGGCAATAAAAGTAACAGTTGACGGACCGAGAGAGCCGAGGAGTAAAAATGGTAAGTAATTTGTTCCTTTTGTTACTGTCACGCGATGCAATTTTAACATCTGTTATCAGTATGGAAGATTGGAGAGCTTAAGGATTTTATTAAAGTTTTTAACAAAGGCTAGAACGCATTTTTTGAGATATAAGAAGCTAATAAGAGTTATTACTTCGTGAGGTTTAATTAGATGATTATCCTTAGATAAAACATTCTTAGTGTCAGTCTTATCTAGCTCAAGATTTTTCAGAATTGTAACTCGACTATTAACCAAGAAAGGGGTCTTAAACTACGTAATACCTCCTTTGAGGATTAATAAAATACTGAGTGTGTCTCACATAATACTATGCGATATTTGTTATTCAAAATCGAGTGGAAAACTGAATACTTATATGAAACAGGGCGAACAACTATGACAATATATATTATTCAAATCTTAAATTAACGTTCTGATTAGATTGAAAACTATACTTTAAAATTCTTCATCAAAACCCCAAATCCCAGTCCGATAAAGTATGAACAAAACCACTTTTTCCTTAAAGAAATATTAGAATTAAATGCCTTGACCATCATGACAAGAAAAATGCATGCAAAACAAAGACTGTTGTAAAGTGATCTGATGCCAAATGCAGTTCGTCAAATTTACTAATTGACTTTGGAGAACAGAAGCAATAGAGAAGGAGAGAGAAAATTGCAATGCTGATGAAAATAGCCATCATGTTGCTTAATAGAATTCCCCACTGTGCTACATTTATTTCATATTTTTTGATTAAAAGTCAAAACAAATGCAAGAGAATGTGAGATGGAAATGGAATTGTGAATCTTTATGAGACAATTTTCCATTTAAAATCATGTTTACATTCATTGACTGTAATTTTGTACATTTAACTCTCACCCATTCTTCTAATGTCGTTATCTGTTTTTGACAATAATCACTGCTGTATTTTTGAGGGTACAATTTAAAATCGGATTAAAAATCCTTTTTCCTGAATCTCAATTTTTGATGCTTTCTTGTGCATTTTCAATTTTTTTTATATCTGCAAAATCAAACCCGAATAGATTCTAGTGTTGTGTTGTCTATCTATCCAATTTCCCGGTGCATGAGTAACTAATGTTCAAAAATAATTTCTCTATCTTTTAATTTTCACAACCATTCCTACCCGACAAAATGTGCAATTTCATGTCCATATGCAAAAAATAAATATGTGTACAATTTGTGTGTGCATTTGAGGATAGATGATGACTCTCTACCTTTTATATTTTCCTCATTCTCGCATGGGAATTTTTCTGTTTCCTCATGTCATATTGGGGATGAGAAAATTACAACTGCAATTTTACGTCAAATACATTTTGAACGTTAGTTCCAATCATTTATCTTCAAATTACAAACACTCTTAATAAAATGAAATGGAATTGTTAGTAGAAATGTTGTTGATGCATAATAAACATCAAGAGGTATAAAATAGACCAAAAAATATGTATATCCAATTCTTCTAATCTGCAAAAAGTCATTCTAACATGTATGTTTTGCATCCAGTCAATTTTCATTTGAAATTTTAATCTTTTCTGCCTTTTATCTCAGTCTCGTTCAGATTCCGATTCCCATAATGCTAATGTATTTTATTTTATCGCAAGAATAAATAATTATTATTTTAAAATATGTACATTTTTCAACTACGTCTCAATTATGATAAGCGGCAACACCGTGAGAATGGAAGAAACAAATAAGTCACACATGTGAATGTATTCTATTATCAACTATTGTGATTTACATTTCTGAATAATACTTTAATAAGATAAATTTAAATGGGAATTCAATAAGGCACTATTTATTTAATTTTATCTACGTAATCCTTGAACTGAATTTGTTTTAATATTATTGACCCATATAATCTTCATGATGTCATCATAAAGCATAATACAATGCATAAAATTAAATCACTGCGTTTTACTCCATTTTCTTAATTCAATGTGATAACTTAATATGTATGAGTCTTTTGTACATTTTATATTAAAATGGGAGAAAGCTTTGCTTGTACTTGATTTCTTAGAAATAAATATTAATCAGAAAGTTTTTGATTGTTCAAATAATGTTCTAGAAATTTCGTTTTGTTTGCTAATTTTTGTTATTTGAAATGTGAATTAATGAATTTTTTATTTCTATGTATCTTCAATAGAATTATTATATTGAAATAAACTTAATAGGAAGCTAGGGTACTTACGTTTTACTAGTCCACCTTCTTCTTTCACCAAACAAAACAGAATGACAAAAAATTTGCAAAATTTGATTGCTTCCTTTGATGAGACGGAAAAAAATTCAAAGATGCAAAAATAATATTCAAATTTATAATGATCGATAATTTTCAAACCACAAAGATATGTTGAAATTTCTATTCAAAATATTTCAAAAAACCTTTTTTTATTAACTGAGTAAATTGTAAAATATTTATCAAAAAACAAATTGTACTACATGTACATAAGCTTTATACATAAGACAATTAAAAATAGCTGGGAAAATCCATGTATAATTTATCTCGAATTACTTCCTTATATTTATGCTCACAATGTTCTTTAAATGTTGCTACACAAATACTAAATAAATGACTTTGCTTCCATTACAGCTCCATCACCTGGAAGTCATTTGAGGACATTTAGTTTAAATCAACGTATATTAGAAACGACACCATATTTAAGAGATCTCGAGCCATATAGAAGAAAGTCATTGTCACAATTGAACAATAATTCATCAATTCAGACAGCAAATACAAATATTCCTGCTATTGAGTGTGGCTATAAGCCAAATGCACCACAAATTCAAGGTAAAGATTCTCATTTATCTTAGACATCCGAATATACATTAATATACGACTATGTATGCACATACAGAAGATTGAAGCATATAATTTGGGTTAAAAGGTTGGTTTCGGAAAAATTATCTTAAACTGATCGGTGGTCAGCTACCTGCACACTACTCAACACACCCCAAGAAATTTATAATATCCATCATTCACACGACTGCAATTTCTTTTCGTCTTCTTCCTTCTGCTGCCCAAAAAAAATTAGTTTTTGATTCTCTTATTCCGACTCCGAAAAGTGCATGTAAGGAACATATAGGAACACTCATTTCTTATACGTGTGTCGATTAATGATTGTTGTTATATTTTCATATTGCACACGTTCAATATTGCACCATGCATTCGTAATTCATGTATGTACATCAATTGAAATGGATGGTAAAGGGAAGTGAATGAACATTTTTCGCCTTTACATGCTCTTCAATAGCAGCAACAATAATAATGATAGTAATAAGTGTATCATGATGTAGTAAATCGATTGAATTTAAATCATGTTCCTTAAGCCTTTATTTTTTTGGGGAAGATAATTTGGGCATGTTCATGAGAAATTCTCTGATCAAAATTGTTAATTAGTTCAATTGTAATTTTATTTTGCGAGAGCAAGATGGAGAGTTGAGCTTGCTTGAATTTATTTATTGACTTTTTCATTTAACACTTGATTGATTTTCCATCAATATTTCATATTCGTTCATTCAGTTCTTTAATATTATTTCTTAGTGCATACAAATACAGATGAAAAAAGCAATTTAGTTCGTTGTATGCAAGTGATTTGGCTTGGAATTTGGATTTTTAGTAGCTTTAAAATGAATTGTTTTTATAAAATGCATATTTTTAATAAGTGTATTGTGTTTATTGACAGTTTTGAGTCCAATTGAGCAATTTTAGGCAGCATTCTATTCTTATGAATTAAATTCAACACTATTCAGCATTTTAAAGTTGAATTCAGCAATTTAAACAATGATTCAATATGATTCAACCTTATCACAATGATTCAGATTTGAAAAAAGTGTTTAAAATTTCCATGTGCACAATATTTTTCTGACACATTAGAAAACTGAAAGTTTTTGTTTATTTCTTTTGATTCTTTTAGCATCTTCTACATAATGTTTTCATTAATTGCTCAAAAACTCAGTCCATAATATAAAGGATAAACATGATTTTTTTAGCAAAAGTATGTAAAAGTTTATCAAAAAATATTGTGCATGTCCAAATTTTGTATGAAAATTTATGTAAACTTTGAACGCAAATATCTCGAAAACGGCATGATCATATTAGTATGGGAGATAGATTTAAGCTTAAATAATTGATTTATATAGGTTTCAGAGAGGTTTTTGGAAGACTTTTTTATTTATGAATAGTTTAAGTTTTGTAAAAATACTCAAATTTCAATAGCATTTTTAAGGCTTAATAAGCAGATTTCTATTGAGTTGGTTGTTTTAATATGCAAATCTAAGCTTAACTTTGCAAACAACAGCTAAAAAGATATGGGAAATAACAACTTAAAGTAGAGAAAATCAAAGTTTTTTTTTTCATATACAAAATGTAAACAAATTTTTTTAAAAGATGAAGTTTAATTAATATGTTATTTTTGAATTTTTAAACATTTTTTCCGAATCTGAATCATTGTGCTTATTCATCACTTTAAAGTCAAAATCAGCACCATTCAGCGCTCTTAAAATGCACTAAGCAACCTAAAGACCAATTCAGCGCTTTAAAAATGTATTCAGTGCTTTAAAAAGGTACTCAGCACTTTAAAGCTTAGTTCAGCATTGTTCAGCGCTTTAAATTAATCAAAAATTCAAAACTTAAGTTTCATATTCTTTCCTAGAAACTTACTTCACATAAAATAATTCTAAACCAAACCTATCCCATCAAAACTGTCTGCAACATAAAAACTAAATACCATATCAAGGAAATTTAACACTGCACAGCAATCGCCGTTAGCAAAAATTATGCAATTTTCCCCTCATCATATCCATGATATAAACTTCTTAGGTAGTTGTATGAATGGAAGAAAATTGGTGCAGTCGTTCATTCAATCCACAATGTGCATAGAGAAGTGCATTCATTGAAAATAATCCAAGAATCGATATAAAAAAAATTATTATTATTTTCCACATGAATGATTGAGTTGGTGCAAGAACGAAAGATGAAGTTGAGGAATAATAAGAATTTTTTAATATCATCGTCGATGTAACAAAAAAATGTATCAGTTACAACAAGCACACACATAATGAAACTTTATATCTAAAGTGCGTTCTAAAATTAATCAAGTTTGAAATGTTCTCAATATGCTGTATGAAATTTGATTCCTTGAACTTTAAAAAAATTAAATATTTTCAGAGAAAAAAATGAACAAATTTCTCAATCAATTAATAATCAACTTGTTAGATCCTCATCGAATCTCTAAATTTATTTTAAAACGCTTACCAAACTATGTGTGCCATAAAAATTGAGACGTGATTCCTAAGAAACGATTAATCGGTGGGAACTAATAAGGTTTAAAATTTATGCAAATTCTCGCACCGACAAAATCTCACATTCGCGAGAATGAAATGGAATTAAAACGTGACAACAAATTTACGGCTTATGCTCAATGAAATAGTCTTCTTTTATACAGAAATAGTTATCAACACAGACCCCACAGACACTACAGCGTTAATCATCTTGTTAATCGGTTTAAGAGCAACTCGCGCGCTGTCTCTAAAGACCCAAAATATTTCCGCAAAAAAGCATTTAAGAAGTGAAAGAAGTTGGAATTTTATTTTGATGACGTGTGATGCTTTGAAAGAAAAGGAATTTAATGATGATGAGAATATAATCGGTCTCACATCATTATCAATGATTATATATTGCGGACCTCCGCACGAGATTTTTTCGTCTTTGTAATTACCTACTTGATTTTATTAAGGATTTTTTTGAGTCTTTTTTTATTATTATGACAAATTAGGAGATATTTCCGGAAATACGATAGTTTTTGATTTGGCATTTTGATGCACAGTAAATTAGAGATTTGGAATCTATTTCTTTAAATTCATTTGCGGCTGTTCATTTAATGTGATACAAAATAAAAGATTTTATAGACCTTCAACTGTCTCAAAATCTTAATTAAATTTTGAACTAAATTGCCAAATTTTGGAACTAAGTTGTTCAGTTTTTGAACCAAATTGCTCAGTTTTTGAACTAAGTTGTTAAGTTTTTAAACCTAGTAGCTCAGTTTTTGAACTAAGTTGCTCAGTTTTTGAACTAAATTGCTGAGTTTTTGAACTAAGTTGTTCAGTTTTTAAACCAAATTGCTCAGTTTTTGAACTAAGTTGTTAAGTTTTTAAACCTAGTAGCTCAGTTTTTGAACTAAGTTGCTGAGTTTTTGAACTAAGTTGTTCAGTTTTTGAACCAAATTGCTAAGTTTCTGAATCAAGTCGCTCAGTTTTTGAACTAAGTTGCTCAGTTTATGACTAAATTGCTCAATTTTTGAACGTATTAATAATTTTAATTCAAACTCAAAGCAAATAATCAACAGATAACCAATAAGTGTTCCATATTCCCCTTCACAACAGAAAATTCTCCCAATCCTTTATTAAAACACACTGATGACTTCATCCCTTGTTTATATTTTCATAAATTAACGACTTTATTATCTCTCGCTATTAACATTGGCATACTAGTTTATCGACATCAGATGACTCACAAAATATAAATTTGCCTTCCTCATTAAAATTTTACGATTATTGTCGAACCAATAATTTACTTACCTTACCATGCTGAAAAAATGTGTGTGTGACTGACTTTAAATATAAAAAATATTCATTGATTTTATTTTTATTTTCCCTCATTCACAGAAAATAACTTAATGGGAGCTGCTGAATGGACGGGATACACGCCAACTGTCGCCTCATCTTACCCTTCATCATATCAAACATATGATCAATCAAGTATATTGCCGGCAGTTCTTCCGAATGATGGAATTTCGTACAATCCATCGGATTATCATTGTGGATCAACTGGTGCACAAAATGCAGCATCATATGCTAGTGCTGGTCAGTTTACATCTCTAACACCTTGGACAAATGAAGTAGATCAATATAATTATGGATATAATAGTTATCAACCGTACTCTTGTCAATCTGCTGTACAGTCTCAATATCCACCACCCCCACCACCTGCATCAGCCCAAACAACAATGCTTTTATATCCACAAGTTTATTCAACTGTAAATCAAAATCAAATTCATCTACATCTACACGGAAGTGATAAACTTGTTGAACAGTATCTCGGTAATGCCACAAATACAATGCCATCGGATAGTAGTGCATTTGCATTAGGCGGCAGTGGTGTGATAGCAAATAATATAAACCATAATCAGCGAGCGATTGGAGGTCTTGAACTTCCGATGATTACACAAGCTGATGATGTAAAGCTTCAAGAACAAACAGTCGATCAAGATGTCAATGATCAAAGTGTTTGGCGACCTTATTGAAATTTTATATTTTTTATGTAGAAACTACCAAACGTTCCATTAATTAAGTTAAAATTCTTGTAAAGATTATGTAGCATACTGATTTAATGTTAATGGCCGTGATGCTGTGCGAGTTTTTTAACAGGCTTTTTGAAATTTAAATGAACTGAAATTTAAGATCTAGGAATCTCATGACAATATGAGATATGAATGAATTCAAGCCTGTCCGCATACTAGCACATTCATCCAGCAGAAAAAGCACATCCTTACATTATGTTTTAAGTAGGAAATGAATTTTTAACCTTTTATTAAAGATTAAAATAAAAAGAGAAAATTTTAAAAGACTAAAGAAAATTGCGTAAAGCACCTTATTCTTTCCATTTCCAAGCTATCTCCCTCAGCAAATTAAAACCCATTTTATTTGAAATGAAGAAACAAAACGGTATATTATGAATATTATATTGAATGATGAGCACTAAAAAAGCACATTGTGGTTAAGCATGGAAAAGAGAAAAGAATCATATCGTGGCACAACTTCTTCACTCATTCATGTCTCTTATATTTTTTTATCTTTCTTTCCTGACTTTTAATATTGTTCCATTCAACCGCAAAGACTTTATTTTTTTCATATTTTAACAAAAACATGGCGGTTGATAGGAGAAAATATATTAAAAATAGATTTTTTAAAGGTTCTTTAATGTTTTTGTCCCTTTTCCTACTCAGAAGTTTATGAGAAAATGCTTCAAGCTTCTTTTCTGAATGATTTCGTTTTGTTCTTATGGAAAAATTGTTCACTGGATCTTTGATTAGTAAATTTTTAAAGCTTAACTGTCAATTTTTGACCAATTCTCAATATTGGCACAATTTTTATCAATATCCAACAAAAACTCGCAAGATCCAGGTGCGAAAATCATCATAACAGTCCATAAAAGTAGATCATCACAAAATTATTCATCAATTTCGCACCCAAAACAATTTCATTCCTTTACGAACTCTGATCTCGTTTCATCATTATCGTATCTTTCATCGTAAAAAATCAAGATTGATTGAAATAGATTATATCTGGCCATCAATCAGGTAGAATATAAGAAAAGGGAATTTTAGAATTGCCAAAAATCCATACAATAGAAACTTTTTGATAGAGTATGTAGTTAATATTTGTGAATTTTGACACACTTTTAGCACCATAAGTTGTGGTAATATTTTATGTTGGTAATTTGATATTTATTAATTGCATTATTGATTGATTTCTAGACTATGAAGTTGTTTAAATGGCATGGTGACATTAGGGGACATTCGAAGTATTTGTTAAGATTAGTTTGAAGCAGTTTGTAGTTTAATATTTTATTTGTGTAAAACATACAACCAAGGGAGGAGAATTTTTGCTTCAAATAAGGGAAAAATTTCGCATCTTTTGTGTGTTCAGTAAAAGAGATGCAAAAAGTTCTGCATCTTATTACTTTTCTGCGAGATTCTCGTATATATTTATGAAAAAAGATTGTAAAATTCGCGTCAAATGTGTGTTCATTAAAAAGAATGCAAACAAATTTCGCATCAAGAGTGCGTTCAGAAAAAAAGATGCAAAACTTAATCTTCAAGACACACTCCATGTTTCATCACTTTCACATTCTTAAGAGTAATTCTCATTATGATAGTCCGTTAAGTATGCATCTCTAGCACACACAAATATGTGAGCAGTAACTCAATGAAATATTATATTCAATGAAAATTCCCCATATATAGGTATGTATAGAGGAGATAATTTGATGCAACAAGTAACTATAAAATATATTTTAAAGTAAGCAGGAATATTCAAGAAATAATTTCTCGATTGATTGAACATGTTATAATCATGAGCATCAGAGAGGAGGTAGGTATAAGTTGAATGTAAAATAATATGACTTGAGGATGTTATGCAGTTTCTCAACAACTCTTTTTTTCTGCATCTTATTGGTAATCTAATGACTTGTATGTAAGTATAAAACAGACATCCTTCGTTATGTGATATACATATTATTTAATTACATCAAATGACATCTATGAAACTTAGCTTTTTGTGGCTTGTGCAGTAATTCACTCATTTGAAGCTAATTTGTGTATAATGTGCAATAAATTAAAGCAACAAAACCTTAGAAATTCATGAATGAACTTTTTCTTTTTTTTCAACGACAAAAGGAAGTGATTTTTTTTCTTCTTCATAGCGATGTGGATAGGATGAAGAGAATCAAAGAAGACTCATAAACTTATTGAAAATTGCGTTTTCTTTGCAAAAACTGAGACTTAACACCATTTAAATCAATCAATGAACACTTAAAAACGTCATATTAAAATTTATTCTCTTCTCAATCCCCCTTTTTTTGTGCCTTTATGCTGTAGTAATGGAAATTTATGTGAGCATTGAGCGAAAATATTATTATTTAACATGTTGGGAGTTTTGTGTTGCAATTAAATTAAAAAGTAACAGACATTTAGAATTTAAATTTGAGTTGAGAACCATACAACAGTTTTTGATTTGAATTTTCAACGATTTTTTACTGGAAATACTTCTTAACCTCATAACAGTTTTTTGAAACTGTACAACAGAGTTTTAACATAGTTGAAAAATAATATATGTCAGTTCCGGCTTAAATTCATAAAATTCAAAATTTTGCTTTAATTTTCACTTGAAAATCAGAATACAGGAAATCTCCAGACAATATTACGTACAGACTCTGTTATTCTGACCTGGAAAATGCGCTAAAAAGACAATATGCCGTGTGTAGAATTTAGATTTGTTGCAATGAATAATTATGGCACTACATTGTAACACAACAAATATGATTTATCTCCCTAATTTAAAGCTCTTAGAAAGATGCATATTCTTAAACTAATTTATAAGCATTCATTCTTCAATGTGTCTACACATTAAATATTTTTTTATGGCTATTACATGTTCGACACCTCTTGAAAATGATCAAAGTCGCTATACACATGGTATTGTGAGCCTATTGCTTAATGGCTTAAAAATCGGATAATATATTATTAAAGTTTAATTTTTTCAGATACTATACTAATTTCCATTTGGATGAGTACAGAACCAATGAGTACTTTAAATTAAGTAAAGGTTGTTGAAAGAAAATATAGTGGAATCGCGGTTAGTGTGGTTTTCGCTACTGATATCTTCAAATTCAATAATATTTTCTCATATTTAAGTTAATCATTACTTTATCATTCAATTATGTCTTAAATAAATGACACTTTATTCAGCATATTCCTTTAATTTGAGCTTTAAAGTTGTTTTGGGAAGAATTCCTCGTTTAACGGCAAAAAAATATTTGAATTTTAAGAGTTTTTGCTGAATTCATCTGAATAAAGTTCAAAAAATCCGTTAAAACCTTACAAATTATTAAAGGCACCCAATATTAAGCACAAATCAGTGGCACATTGACTCATATTCTCGATTTCTAATTTAATATTCATAATTCATCGTTCTCGTATTCCTCTACAATAACATTACCGACGGACTTCGTTTGTACAGAACAAAACAATAATTTTTTAAGAATTTCCAATAATTTTTATGTCATGAATCATCAAAAATATCAATCAGGACATGACAAATCACTTTCAAAAAAATTAAAATGCAGAAATAAATGAATATAAAGCAGCTGTGATGTAAATGTACACTAGTTTATCAAGAAAATGTTCTCCATGAAGCAATAACGCATGAATTTTTACATTTTACAAAAGCTCGAGATTTCTAACCAATCAGATGCTAGAAAATAATGATGCTGTCTCGTTCACGACAACAATTTTCCAGAGAAAACTTTTTTTAGACACTTGTTGCTTTCGGTTTTTGTGGCTTTACATTTAAGTCAATGTACTCTAGTTGAATGGAATTTTTGCATGAGAACCATTTTTCTAGAAAATAGAGGAATACGTGAGGTATTTTACTGAATAGGCATAATAGTTCACGCGAAAAAGGAAGTAGATGAGCTATTAATTGACTTCGATGAATTTTGAATGGGAAAATTTCTAAATTTGCAAGTTACTTTTTGCGTAGGTAGTCACGTAATTTGCTAGTTCCTTGCCTTTTGCAAACAGTAAAATACGGGTGGCATTCACTTTTTAAGGCGTTTGTAGATGCAATTGCGGTTTTTTGTTTGCTGGTTTGTAGTTTAAAAATCCATAAAAATAACTTAGGATCTTATTTTGAAGGCAGCAATAAAAATTCCTATTTTCTCTCAGCTTTTATGTGCTTGATGTATGTAAAAACATAATAATTTAATAGTGTCACCACAGAATGTAAAAATTAAAATGTGAAGCGAAATTTCATTTTTTAAATTTTACCGGTTTTCAAATATTTGAATGAACTGTTTAAAAAACTTGAAAAATAATTTAACCGTTATGTTTTTAATAAATTTGTGCCATTGACATAAGATATAAATTAAAGTCAGTTTTATGCTGGATAAATATGAGTTCAAAAAATTAAGTTTTGAAAATGCTGTCAAAAATAACGGTTATAATAATTTCAAATATTTGTGCCCCTCGTTGTGCTACGCAATTATCTTTCTTTTTGCTGTCACTTTTTCGAGGTATTCATCGTGTGAATTAAAATTTATTAATTTTAATAGTTTATTCTTGCTTAATTTAATTAAATTGTGCCTTAAACAATGCATAATTATGAGATGTACATAGTTGACATAAATTTAATCAAGTTAATTGCGACTTTAGTGAGAATTTTAAGTATAAACAAATTTTCTAACCTTTTTTCCAATGTTTTCTTTTCTCAGGAAATATAATTCTCAAAAGAAGTCAAAATGAAGTAAGTTAAATGCACTATATTCCTATTATTACAGGTTAATTAATTGTAATTTCATTTTAGGATCGGCCTTTGCGTCTTCAGTGGATATAAAATCTACCCAGGAATGGGAAAAACATTAGTTAAAGCTGATGGAAAGGTAAGTTTTTCATGTGAGGAACTATAAAGTTGCGCAAAATTTTAACTGGAACTACATTTTAACATCCATAGACCTTCACATTCATCAACAAAAAATGTGAGAGATCATTCTTAATGAAGCGTAACCCACGTAAAGTTAAATGGACTGTCCTCTACCGTCGTAAGCACAAGAAAGGTATTGAGGAAGAAGCAACCAGAAAGAGAACACGTCGTACGGTGAAACACACAAGAGCTATTGTCGGTGCCACTATGGCTGATATTATGGCCAAGAGAAACATGAACCCAGACGTTCGCAAGGCTCAACGTGACCAAGCTATCAAGTAAGTCATTTAATACTTTTTTTACAGTGCTGGATCTAATGATTGTATCCCAATTTTAGAGCTGCCAAGGAGCAAAAGAAGGCAAAGACCCTCGAGAAGAAAGCTAAGGTTGTACCATCGAAACAAAAGGCAAAACCAGCCCAGAAACAACAAAAGGCAGCCCCAAGAGTCGGAGGCAAACGATAAATTGCTAATTAAATTCCATCTTATAATCTATAAATAAGAAGAAAAGAACATGTGTGTGAATGATGAAAAATAAAAACAACATTTTTCATTGATAATTTTCCCTCTTGTCAATAAAGGACTTATTTTTCAGGCTTCTTCTTACTTCCTCTTTTGTCGTATATCCAATATTCTATCATATGTTTTCCTTGAATGGTTTGTGTCTTGGATACATTTTCAATGGGTGACTAAATGCACGAAAATCGAGCAAATTTTCACATACAAAAGCATAGACAGTAATAGTATGAAGGATATAACATCCTTTGTCACCCTATCGTTATAGATATTGTTACACAATTCCATTTAGGTTGTAAATAAAAGCAATTGTTTTGTGTTATTTAGTGCTTTAAAGATTTCATTATTGCAATAAAGTCATGTCTGTTCAGGCAGTAGATCCAAGAATAGCTTTAGAATTAGAAAAATTAAACAATTCATGCGAAAAAATCAATAATTTGGAAGTGAATTTGGGTAAATTTTTAAAATTAAACTTGGAAATCCCTATTTTACATGCACACACATTCTAGATGAACTGAAACGTAATTATCAGGAACTGCAAGAAGCAAGTCAGGAAGAAATTCGAATGATAAGTTGTAAGATTAAGAGTGCCATTGAAATTGCTAGACCCCATTATGATGCACGGCGGCAGGCAAATGAGTTATTGAAGGAACTGAAGGTCGAACAAGTGAATTATGAAAAGGCAAAGACAAATTTAGCTGCAGCAAAGGAAATGGTGTATCTTGCTGAACAAAGTGTCACGCAAGTAAGGCAATAGCTGCTTATTATTTTTTTCTTGGTGATTTATTACTCTGGAAGTGCTTTTTTGTGCTTCATTTGTCTTGCTGTATTTTAAATATTGATATTTAGTACATCCAGTGCTTAATTAGGGCATTTTCCTGTCAATTGGTTGAGAATTTTAAAACCTTTCAAATTTTTGATAACCGTTAAATATTTAAATGATTAATTACCGTTAAATAGCGAGTAATTAATTAATTTTGTGGCTATTACTCTCATTTAGAACTCACAGGGAATGGGCGGATTGGACATAGCTTTACAAGAGATGATTAGTCACGCTACAAGCCGTGTAAATCAGTACACAGACGAGTGCAATAAGTATGAATAATTTCATGTAATTAATTAATTTAATCCTGACGTCAAGTCTATTTTCAGAGTTCAAAATCGCATGAGGATAATAGAACTGAAACATGAGATGGCAAACATTCATGTAACGAAATTACAGTCACAACTGAAAGCTTCCATAAAAGTGTCGAGGTGACTATTTGCTACATTCTGTGATTTTAATGCCCTTTTTTGAGTCATAATTTATTGCTGTTATCTCTCATTAGTTCTCTTCCTACCTTTAAATTTATCTTTTTGAATTATTTTGCTTTTGTAAGTATTGTTCAAGCTTTATTCTTATTTACACTTATTTCTGAATATATTCTGCATGCATGCTCATGACCCTCAGAGCTATCTGAACTAATAAATTCCTTAATTGCAGACCGTATTATGAAACGCGTGCTAATTATAATGCCAAATTAAGGAACTTAAAGCTTAAAATTATAGAAATGGAAACAGAAGTGCAAAAGACAAAAGCTGCTTACAACGAAGCTTTACAGAATTTAGAGAAAATTTCAGATGAGATCCACAAACTGCGAGAGGACCAGAAACTTAACAGTTATCATGACGAAGTAAGGCTTGACATGTCCATATTAATATTTAGACATATATGTTAAATTTATTTCTACAGGACTTTCCACAAGTGAAGCCACAATCAAGCAACAAAACATATCTGTGCTATCAAAATAGCTTGTCTGATGATTATGAGCTTGTTGATGACGACGATGATGATGACGAAATGGAGGGAAAGAATATACAAAAAGAAGACATTTGGTCAGAAATTCCATTAAATACCGGAACAATGTCAGCATCAAACAGCACGTCAAGTTCAAATTATACGCAAAACTCAGACTGTGATGAGAAAGTCAAGAATGAAGAAGTGGCAACATCAAGTGATAACAATAAAGACACCAATAAGGATGACGATAAAAAGTCAGGAGGCCTAAGCGAGTGGCTTTCAAAGTCGTCATTTCGACGACAAAGTCTAGAAGATGTTTTTGCTCAAAGTACATTATTTGGGAAATTTGGACGTTCTGGTGAGCGACGTAATTCTGAGTCCGAGGTGGAATCAACTTCTACATCAGCCAAAAAAGAATTCTTCCTATTCGGAAGGAATGAGGGACTTACAGACAGTCAAATTGATCACTTTTTCCTACCCGATGAGCATCTTTAAATGTTTGATGCTCGATTTTTTATTATGATGGATTAACTAGGAAGCTGGAATTGATTGGAAGTGCTAATTTTTTGTGGAAATCGTATGAAATTTGTAGTGTTGTTCACAAAAACCTTACAATTTCGAAATTAAGGAATTAAGCCATACAATTTCAAAAATTATTCAGCCGAATTTGTATGGTTTTAAAGAATTGATGAGTTAAAATTGGAATTTGTGTGGTTCTGGGACAAAATTAGCATCGTATTGAAAATGATGGCTTAATATGCTTTAGAAAATTATTAAAGAAAATTAAAAATTAAGATGGTTCTATTAAAGAAAATTAAGTGACTCGTATAAAAACATTTGTATGGTTTAAGATAAGAAAATAAAACACTTGTATGGTTTTTAATGAGACAAATCAAAAACATTTGTAAGTTTCTGAAAAGAAAGCTCAACATAAACATTTGAGTGGTTTTCAAGCATTTGTAGGGTTTTGAAATTATGTGAATTTGTACGGTTTTATTCCAATCAACCATAGCTTCCGGAAAAAACGAAAAAAAAAAACAGAAAATACCAAGTATTAATACCTAAAATGATTTTAAAATGATATTCACATTAAATGAGGAACTATATAGCAATTTTATTGAATCAGAATAGCAATGTGAAATGTATTTTGTTGAACATGAGACAAAAATAAATGATAACAATTAAGGAACAAAAGCTTACATGCGTATTAACTTTTAAAGCTCTAATTCTCTCGAATGCCTTAAAGCTGATGACGAAAAAATAGAAAAGAAAAATGATTTATCATCACATGTATGTGATATAGCATCATCATCATAGCGTACATACATATGTAGAAAAGGAAAAAAAATCGAGAGAATGAGAGAAGCTCAAAAAATTATGTGATTGATGATCACATCATCCGAGTCTCATCTTCAATTTTTATTATCAATTCTTCATGCCGACACGAAAGAAAATGAGGAGGGATATAAAAGCTTTTCATCACATGTTACCGGCATTTTCATCTTTCTTGTGTTGACAAATAAAAAGCTTTTTATCAAAATTTAATTTCCGCTTTCATGAACAATAAATTTCAATTCTTTTGCCTCCTTTATAATCTCATTTTAACAGTGACAAAGTATCTTAATTCATTCAACTAAATTATCCATAATTTATCTTAGGGGCCGTTCACTTATTACGTTCGCATTTTAGGGGGGAGGGGGGGTTTGAAAAATTGTAACAAAATGTAACAAGGGGGGGGGGGGGGGTTAAGAAGTATGTAACGTTCACGAAAAAAATTTGTTTACAAATTCAAACCAATTTTTTTTTTAAATTTTCCACCTTTTAAAAAAAATAAATTATGAACGTTCAGGGTGGGGGGGGTTATGAGTTGTAACATATTGTAACAAGGGGGGATTGAAAAAAGTTTTTTTTGCGTAACGTAATAAGTGAACGGCCCCTTATTTCTCTCCCCACAAAATGATGCCGAAATAAATAAATATTTTTCGTACCAAACTCATCACTTAATGTTCAGTGCAGCCTCTGAATTACAAGTACTCTATTATATTCATTTCAAATGAAATTTCATGAAAGGCATCAAGTTTCTATCGTGTTTTTAAATGCTGCAATTGTGAATTTGTGGATTCAAATTGTAATTTTGATAGCTGTTGTTTTGAAATGAAATTTTCTAGAATTTCTGTTGAATTGGATTAAATGCAATTAAATGAAGGTTTTGGGAGGAAAATTCAGTTTTCTGCATTAATCATACAGATCAAAATAAATGAATTAAGCAGCTTTTATGATGGTTGTGAGAAGAGGGTTTAGCCTACTGTAGTGTTGCTTCAAGGTTCGGTGACTTCAAGGGGTTAAAATCTTTAGAAAACTGTTGAATTCAAGTTTATGAACAAGCAATTGAACCATCTACAGTTAGAAAATCAACAATAAGAACCAATATTTCAAAAGTCAAACAATAAGGTTTTATTATTATTATTATTATTTTATTTATCTATCATAAGGAAAAGCCATTTTAAATGTATTTAAACTTTTTAAAATGGCATAAAAACCTTAGTTAAATTAACTTGAATTACATGCTTAAAATATTTAAGATCAGTGATAATTAAATATCGTTAAAGATCTTAAAACCAACAGACATTTTCATTTTAAATTATTAGCAGTTGAAATAAATTTAGATTTAAAATATTTGACGGATTATATTATTGGTGTGTGTCTTAGCTAAGTTGAATTTTGAAATCACATACGTAAACAACATTTTAACGGAAAGATGTGAAAAAAATAAAATATTGATGACTGAACAATTTAACGAATGATTTTGCTGACATTTAGACTATAACAACGATTAAAAGAGCATTCGAGACTCTGACAGTTTTTCATGTAATTTTAGCTATCAAAATCATCCGAAAGACTTAAGGTAGCTATTATCGAAACACATTGAGAGGAACTGCTCATTGGACACAAACTGTTTTGTCTGAAATTTGAAGGAATGGACATGCACCGCTTTTCTTATTAGCAATGGTAAATGGTTGTACACGTTAACTCCAAAGTGGTGAATATCTTTCCTTCCATAATTGTTTCTTGAGGTTGATGGACGCAGATTCATTTTGGTACGTGCTCCCTTATTGCACTCGAATGAAATATTTGTATGAATGGATTTGTTTCTGCATAGAAAGATGAATGATGCTGTGTTTATGTAATTCATTGCGCGAATGGGGAAAATATTATCTGTTGTGAGTTTTTTGTACATTTCAATTCTATTGTCCAGCCTATTAAATCCATACATGTTCCTTAACATTCGATTTTGGATTGTTTGTATTGGTTTGATGACTGTGTCGCAGGCATTTCCCCAAACGGTTATCATATAGTTGATGTGTGTTGCAAAGAGTGAATGATAAATCTTTTTCTTGGCTGTGAATGGCAGAACGTTCTTTAGCTTCCACATTATGCTTGATGCCATAGATAATTTCTGTTGAACATGCCTTCCATGAATATCCCATTTCAAGTGAGGATCCAGATGAAGTCCTAAGTACTTCATTGATGTAATCTGCATTATTTCATACTCATCATTTATTTTGATTGACTGAGGCTGTACACATTTAATGAAAGGGGAATGAAAGACCATAAAATTCGTTTTTTTAATATTTATGATCATTTTCTGGTAGTCTAGAAAGTTGAGTATTAATTCCATGTCATTTTTGATTACTGTTGCAATGTCATCTTTTGGATTATGTTCATTAATCAGCGCCAAATCATCAGCATACAAAATTATCGTGCCAGATAGTCCATTCAGCTTGGTAACTTCATTGAAAAATATATTAAATAGTAGGCTACCCAAAATACTACCCTGAACAACGCCATATTCCACTTTCAGTGGTTTACTGATCTTGGATCCTATTTTGACAGATTGGAATCTCGAAAATAGGTAGCTTGCAATAATTTCCTCAATTTTTCCTCTAATGCCAATCAGGTTTAGCATTTGCATGAGAATTTTCCTGTCCACCAAGTCAAAAGCCTTTTTTATATCCATGAATACAACTGATGCTATCTTCTTTTTGTCAAGTGACTTTCTAAGCGTACTCACTAACTCGGTTGCAGCGGTTTCCGTGCAACTTTTCGGTCGAAATCCAAATTGCTTATCAGACAGGGTATTATTTTTCATTACAAATTTGATAATGCGATTGTAAAGAAACTTTTCTACTATCTTGTTAAATGTGGAGAGTATTGAAATAGGGCGTAGATCATTAATATCATTTATTTTTCCCGTTTTACTTATTGGGATAACCGTTGCGTATTTAAATGCTTTTGGATACTTTCCAGTCTTGATAATAGCATTAATTAAGTGGCATAAAGATGAGCATAACTCAGGGCAAAGTTTTTTTACGTCCATTGATGAAATATTATCATTCCCAGCTGAGGAATTTTTGAGATTTCTAATGATTGTAGCGATTTCCTCTTCATCAGCTTCATCTAACACTAGAGAATGTGGCACAGATGAAAATTTGATGCTTTTAGCATTTTTTCTTCGGTCTTTTACTGCATCTGTAACACTCTTAATGAAGAATTCGTTGACTTTCTCTGCTATCGTTGATTCATCAGTGATCACGCTTCCGTTCATATTTAGAAATTCCATTTTAGATTTTGTATTTCTTCCTAATATTCCATTTAGTTTGTTCCAAAGAATTTTTGGATTGTTGCTTTGCAGGTGTAGACTATAGAATTTTTGTTTTTCCTTCTCAATTATCTTCTTTACTTTCAATGACTCGGATTTTAGCCGACGTTGAAACATTTCTTTCATCAACTTTGTTCTTTTTAGTCTTTTTGATATATTTTGTTTCTTTTTTATCGCATTAAGGACTTTCCAGTTGAACCATGGACAGTGAATGTTGTTGGCCTTAACTCTTATTTTAATGGAAACCGAGTTATCATTTAATGATTCTTGTGTGACTTTCAGTAGCTGATCTGCAATTATATCAGGATCTTCAATTCCAAAAATCATTAGCTTATTAATTGATATACTTAGCTGTTTTGCTGCACAAGCATAATTTATTCGCTTGAGGTACTTTGACTCAGAGGGTTGATAAGAATTTGTATCTTCTATGCTCGAGATTATGAGGTTGTGATCCGATAAGCTGTTATACACTGTGAAGTTCGCTATTGCTGTCTCGTCATAGAAATTACACCCAAAGTGATCAATAACTTTACCACTAATATTTCTTGTTTTGATGTTATTCATCACTTTAAGGCTGTATGCATCGAGTATGTTGATATATTCAGTTGTAGATCTACAGTCATCATTCACATTGATATTTATATCTCCAGATAAAATTATTCGGTCATTTGTGGAAGCGATCTCATTTTCAAGATCAACAAGAAAGGGTTTCATATTTTCCTGGACTGGTGCTCTATAGTAGGCAATTAATTTGTACCCTTTATTATTTATCTTGAAGTTAATTGAGATCCTCTCAAAGCCAGATGAGTGCGTTTCAACTTTAAAAACTGATAGACTTTTCTTCATAAAAACTAGTAAGCCACCTCCACTATTAGCCGCCTTGCGACAGCAAACGTATTTATTGTAATTTTGTAAATTATAAATTCCATGTGGGAATGATTTCTTAAGCTTTACTTCACCAAGAATGATCACATCTGTAACAAAATTAAGACTGGATAACAGGTTTTTGAATTGGTCAAATTTACTTGGTTTATTGAGACCTTGAATGTTCAATTGAAGAATCGATAAACTTTTGTCTTTAATGCCTGCATCCTTAAATAGTTTTACTGTTTGGTAATAGGTGTTAGATGTAATTTTAACTTTAGGTTGAGGTTGAGGTGGCTTAGTTGATTGCTATTTTTGGTTTTTTATTTGATCGAAATACAATTGGACTTCTTCCAGTTTAGATTCATCATCCACAGTAATTTCACTTTCGTCTTTCTTCTGTACTCTAACACATCCTCTTGCAAAATAAACTTTTAATTTCTTTCCTACGATCGTTTTCGCTTTGAATATCAGACTCCTGTTAATGACGGTTAGTGATTGGTTGAAATAAATAGAGCTTTCTGTTTTTATGTCACGTTTAGCCTTCATGACTCTAATTTTTGTGCCAATGTTTGCGAAAATTACAACAATGATCTTTTTCATAAAATTCCCGTTCACATTCTTTTTCAGTTTGATTTCCTTCTTGAAAGCATGCTCGATTTCCTTTTGGTCTATATTAATACCAAAGGATTCCATAATATCAATTGCCAATTTCTTGAAGTCATTTGTTTCATCAATTACGTTATTTTTGACGCCTTCGATCTCCATACGTTTCTCCAATTTATCCTGCTTATATGAGCCAATCAACTTGCGATTGTCACTGGCAATCTTTGCTACTGTATCAATTCTTGCATCGAGTCCTTTTACCTCTGATGATAGATCGCTAACTTTTGTCGTTACTGCACTGAGTGAGCTTTTGATCCCATTGATTTGTTCTGTTACATCTCCTCGCAATACAGCAATATCACTTCGTATACCTAGTGTTTCGACTTTATTCGCCTTTAACTCATTCATTATGTCTTGCAGTGAGAGCTCAGAAGTAGTTTGCGACGGGAAATCATCTAACCTCCGGTTTTTTGTATTACTAGGCAATTCATCCTCAGATATCTCATAATCCTCAACTTGCTTTCTTTTACGATCTGTGGTAGGTGTTGTATCATCTTCAATCTCTTTGCGTTTGGGCGTATCTTCGGCATCTTTGTTTTTTGGTGAGTGCTTTATTGGCATAGTGGACGACAGTGTTTAGACTCCCACTTTTAGCAATCAGTACAAGCGACTGCCTGGAATCAATTAATAATTAATACTTCAAGCAGTCCAATAAAGCAGAGTGGGAGTCAACCACCTTATGTTTAAATAATCCTTGTCTTGTTTAGCCGTTAGATTTGGTATTTAAAATTACTTGGAATCTTTCATTGACAAAATTCACCTCAGTTGCAGAAATTCACCAATACAAGCGTGACAGAGAGAAGAATCTTCTTTTTCCTTTCCTGTATCTTTTGTTTTAATTGATTTTGGAATTTCTATGTCATTGAGCCTACATATGATGACTTTCTTGATGTGATTCGATACTTTTGTATCTCTTGAATAATAGTTTCACTTCGTGCACTCTCAATATTTGTTGTAATTCAATAAAAATCGATTTTAGTATATTTTTAGGTTCAGCACTTTGTTTTGCAGAAAAATTTAATTAATTAATAAACTAGCAAATATTATGACTTGACTTTATATTCCTAGTGTAAAGACGTACGAACTTTTAAATATTGAATAATTAGTTATGCTTAGTCGAGTCAGAAAATTTATTAAATTAGCATTAACACTTAAACACGCACTTCGTTCGTTAAGCTTGAAGTCAATTTGAATCGCCCAAATTCGAACTCTTCTTTCAAGTTTCAATTTTAAAACTTTTGATAATTACTTAATAATTACCATCCATAAAATCATCAAAACAACAATTCAACGAATATCCTCAAATGTTCTAGAATCCATTACTTTCCAGACCATTTCTGATTATTATCTCTCCATTATATAATTAAAAGAATCCAAAATCAACAATTTAACAAAAGTTTTCAATGAATAGCATCATTATCAAAGGAGTAAACAGCATTCATCTACAATAAAGCAGATAAAGTCTGTAAAAACCATTAAATTTAATGTTCCGGTAGCTTTGCATCTCGAAAAAATAATCTTGATTACATGGAACCAAAAATGTTTCATTCTCTCGTGACGCACAACAAAAAGCTAGAGCTGAATACCGCAAAAAAAAGCTACAGAAACTAGTAAAAAGAGAAAGAGTAAGTCAACCTGTAACAAAAAGTAAAAGCAGTGAGGATGAATGAATTGAATGTTAATTGAGTCACATTTCCATAATATTTGAGAATCAGTAGAAATAATGAGAGTTGAGAGGAAATTCACATCGGCGATTGCGCGAATCATGTCCCATGTGTTTTTTTTTTCGCTACATATAACGCGACAGCGAAGCTTGTTTACTGAAAAGGCAACTCTTCATTCTTTCCTTTGCAAACTTCTCTCGCATTAAAAATGAAAATGTGAATGTAATACAGCAAGAGAGCAGCAGCAAGCAGCAGATAGATAGATAGACCGAGTAGAAATTGAGTAAAAGAGTCTCTTCAGTCAGTTGTAAAAAATCATTGTCGGTGAATGGTTGTATGACTTAACATAGTCTCGAAAACAGTTCGGTGTTCATGAAATTTACAGTCAATTATAGGCTCAAGTTTTCAATGTCCATCCATCAACAAAAAAAAAAGTGCTTTCAAGGATTTTTGTATAGCACTAAGTTGCTGTAAACGCATATGGTGATTGAATATAGAGTTTATGATTGCAAATACAAATTGTCCTAGCCATAGGACAATAGCATTTTACAAGAACAACCACAGCGTGTGAAACCGAGAAAATGAACCGGAGTGAAGTGAGAGTAAGGCACACCAAAAAAAAAGTGATTTTTTCAGAAATGTAACATTTGTTAAACGTGAAAAATATTTTATTACAATTTATGAGTAACAAATGAGAGATAATTAACGTGTGCTGACCTATTTAAGGTGAAACGTGCGTCGTCAAAAAAAAATTTATTATGATATGTACAAATGTTGGAAAAAACAATGTAAATTTGCTTAATAGTGGGACGTGTTTGCGATACAACTGAGGCACAACTATTATTTTATTCGAGTGTGTTTATTTTGACCCAAAATATCTGAATTGCTACTTTAACGGCATCCTTCCTTCCGCACCAAAATAAATATATATATTTTATTTTTTGACGTCAGCCTCCCCATTTCCTCCTCCTCCATCGCTATAATTTCTTTTATTCACGATTACTGTGTGTATATTTCTTATGCTACTGCTACATGCTCCGTGTCGATGCCCTTTCTGCCATACCAAAATGTAATTCAGAAGAAGAAAAAAAGAGGCGAGAAAAGAAAAAAAAAATAATCGAGAATCGTTTGTAAAAGCAAGACATAAAGAACTTACGGTGCTGGATCTGTCTTGTGGCCTTTATTAAGGTCTGACGAAGGGATTCATAGTGACCACATTGTGAAATAAAGTGAAAAACTGTGTCTCGTTGAGTGCTTATTGTGAATTAATAAAAATAAAAAAATAAATAAATGCCATTCCAGCTCTTGAGTTGAAGTAAGTAAAACTTACAATTATGTATACATCCATATATAAAAGTTTATCTTAATGACGATAATCTCTGATTGAAAATCAAGTTAAACAATAATGGAGAGAAGAATGTTTTTAAGGTCGCCGGTTGTCGCTGAATTAAGTGCATTTTTGTAGATTATGATTCTGTGGTAATTGGTTGGAATTCTGTGAGATGGCTAGGGGCATTGAAAGTATGAAGCATTCTAGAATTGTAGAGCTGTTAAACATTTAATGAATGAAGTTGCATATATTGTTGTCTGGCATCTTGTTACAACTTTTAACCTTCAGACTGTTGACAAATTTACAGCTATTAAAAACTCAAACATATGAGTCACTTACAACGTCTAGGATAAGAAAAAGTGGGATCATAAAGCTTCAAAACTCGTCAAAAAGTTATTTCAAGGCGTAAAAACTCAGGATTAATCCCAAAAATCTCAAAAAAAACTCCAGCACTTCCTTTCATTAAACTTCGAATTGCACTTGAAATTCCTCAATTATACACCAATTATAATATATGGTTTGGGTAATTTAATCATTTAAGGGGTCTTCAACTATGATAAGATCTCCGAAGCGGTCTAAAACTAATAAAAAGGGGTTTGCAACTATGAAAAGAAAGCTAGAGGGGACTAAAACTAAGAAAAAGTTGTGATAAACTATGATAAGATCTCTTAAGGGGTCTTAAACTATGAAAAGTTGTTTTGCAATGTTTAAAAATCTTTTAAAGAATTCTACAGCTGTGAAATGTTCTTTACAGGAGATCTTAAACTAAGAAAACGTTGTCATAAACTATGATAAGATCTCTTAAGGGGTCTTAAACTATGAACAGTTGTTTTGCAATGTTTAAAAATCTTTTTAAGAATTCTACAGCTGTGAAATGTTCTTTACAAGGGGATCTTAAACTAAGAAAAAGTTGTGATAAACTATGATAAGATCTCTTAAGGGGTCTTAAACTATAAAAAGTTGTTTTGCAATGTTTAAAAATCTTTTAAAGAATTCTACAGCCATGAAATGTTCTTTACAGGAGATCTTAAACTAAGAAAAAGTTGTGATAAACTATGATAAGATCTCTTAAGGGGTCTTAAACTATGAAAAGTTGTTTTGAAATGTTTAAAAAAATTTCAAAGAATTCTACAGCTGTGAAATGTTCTTTACAAGGGGATCTTAAACTAAGAAAAAGTTGTCATAAACTATGATAAGATCTCTTAAGGGGTCCTAAACTATAAAAAGTTGTTTTGCAATGTTTAAAAATCTTTTAAAGAATTCTACAGCCATGAAATGTTCTTTACAGGAGATCTTAAACTAAGAAAAAGTTGTGATAAACTATGATAAGATCTCTTAAGGGGTCTTAAACTATGAAAAGTTGTTTTGAAATGTTTAAAAAAATTTCAAAGAATTCTACAGCTGTGAAATGTTCTTTACAGGAGATCTTAAACTAAGAAAAAGTTGTGATAAACTATGATAAGATCTCTTAAGGGGTCTTAAACTATGAAAAGTTGTTTTGCAATGTTTAAAAATCTTTTAAAGAATTCTACAGCTGTGAAATGTTCTTTACAGGAGATCTTAAACTAAGAAAAAGTTGTGATAAACTATGATAAGATCTCTTAAGGGGTCTTAAACTATGAAAAGTTGTTTTGAAATGTTTAAAAAAATTTCAAAGAATTCTACAGCTGTGAAATGTTCTTTACAGGGGTTCTTAAACTAAGAAAGTGCCTTTAATTCAATTCAATTCAAAAGTTCCGTTAAAATGAATTCCCTATACCAAACCTACCAAGAAACCTCATCCTTCTCATCAAAACTGTGACAAAAGTCATCGCTCATCAGATAATCTTTGAAGTATAATATAATTAATATTAATCCCATCGAGTGATGATGGAAATATCATTTAACAAATGTTGTGTTGATAAAGAGTAATTATTATTAAGTTTACTTAAAGCTATTATTCAAATACTACCAGATGACCTTAATTCATTAAATAACATAAAAGTTTCATCGATTACGATAAATTTTGATGTTTTTTCGACAAATGTCATTTGAAATTAATTAGCGACTTGTGTCCTTTCAATAAAAACTGTCTTCTCAACTTTTGTTTTTTTTTATTAATGCTCCTAAAAAGATGTGGCAAAATTTCAAGCTATAAAGTTTTTTTTTATCATAAAACAAGTTTATAATAAAGTTTACTCATTCATCAATCTCTTTTTTTGCACAACAAATTTTTACGAATGTCAAATACACCGCTTTTCTATGATTGTCATATCAACTTTAAGCACTTTTTATGGCTCTCTACGAGAAATTTTAATTTTTATTTATATTTTATGATTTTTTCTGGCTTCATTAATTTTGCTTGTTTTATTCAAAAACTTTTGTTGTTTGTTCTGTCAAACGTCTTACAAGTTCTCGTACTTCAAGTTTTTGTTTACTCATCATTGCAGTCTACGAAATTTATATTTTAATTTATCAAGTGGAAATTTAAGTTTTTGAGGTTAGATTTTTTTTTCATAAAACCCAGACAAACTCAATTATTTGCAAACATCACAACCCATATTATCTACAGAGCACAGCGTCCACAGTCGAAATATATTTAAAGCTATCCCGGGTGGACACAGCCAGTTAAAGTCCATTATTGGACAATCATTTAACAGTCTTTTGACTTGCCCAAATTTATGCGACATAAAGAACTAGACGTTTACTAGACTTTAACTGGACATTCATGCTAATCAATCAAGTGTTCGAAACTCAAAAATAATTTTCCTTACTTTTTTGACCATATACTTCACAAGCGCTTGCAGAAATCACTTATATAAGGCCTCCCAAAATTTGTATGAAACTTTTAAGTAAATATAATTGTTTCACGCGCAAGTGTTCGAGACTCAATTTTTACTAGAGATTTTTCATAAGTGTTAGTGTACTTTAATTAATTAATTACACTAATACAATAATAAAATTTTACAAAAGAAAAAAAATGGAGAAAAAGACACGTGTTATTTATTTTATTTTGATTTTTTTTTAACTGGACATGAACTAGACATATTTGCAATTCCTACGTCCAGTTAAATGGAAAGCGCAAAATATGTCATTAGTCGTCCCTAAGTCTAGTTGCAAAGGCACGTCAATGGATACTTACTCGCCATGAACAGGCAAGTCAATTGCAAGCTTTTAACTAGTACTTTGTCCACTCGGGTATGATTTATCTGTCTACCGGATTCAACATACTTAATTGACTTGAAGTGTTATTGCTCAAGGTGTAAATGCGCTCAGAGCATAACAAACTACAGAATTTGCACAGCAAATCTACTCATAAATTTCAAACAATATAATTCCATATACTCGGAGAGAGAAAGAAAAAAATAATTGAAGGACATAAAATTTATTACAAGACGATTTAAAAGCAATTTTGCAACAAATGATGTCTGTAGAAGTATAATGAAATTTGATATTGTTGATTTTTTTTTTGTTTGTCCGTTATTTGCACAGACACAAATTATTTCTTTTACATCTTTTCTTTCGTCATCGGAATTGAATGATGCAATTTTAATTCATTAACGCCAATCCAGAGCTCATTGCATTAGTTGAGTGCTCCTTTTGCACTTTTTGTCTCGCGCGAGTTAATAACGTCATTGAAATTGACCCGAGACTAGACTGAGACACACCAAAGCACTTTTTTACTCATACAATTCTCATTACGTATTTTCTGATGCTACTGATTCTGTTACTACTTCTTTGTGTGTGGACCTCCGAGACATTTCATTCATTTCTTTTTTTTTTGCTGCTTTTAATTTTCTTTTATTGGCGACATAAATCTCAAATTCATCGCCAAAAATATCGTTCGCCTTTTTTAAAACCCGAAACCCGAACTGCACTTTATGATTGTCTCGTGACTTAATTCTTTTCTTGGAGATGCATGTTGACTGAAGAGTTTATTAAGGGGCCATTCACTTATTATTACGTAACGCTTTTAGGGGGGGAGGGGGGTCTAAGATTTTGTTACGGTTCAAACAAGGAAATTTTTTTTTCATACAAATTTTGTTACGAGGGGGGGGGGGTCTAAAAAGTCATTTTTTCGCGTTACGTAATAAGTGAACAGCCCCTAAGATCAATTGAATGCAATAAAGAGATTTTAACATGAAAATATTTGCAAATTTATGATGATTTTCTGTTTAATGTGATGACATTGACATTTTGCATTGAGTTTTGAGTGGATATAGTTTGTTTTTGAGCTGTTTACTGTATAAAATTTGATTACATTCATTCACCAAAGATTTTTTTGTCTGGTTTTGAAGCTTGTAGGGTTAAAACTACGAACATTTGTCGAAAAGGAATCAAATTCAAATTTTGGAAAACCATTTGAATCTAAAATTCACTATTTCGATAAGGGGCCATTCACTTATTACGTAACGCTTTTAGGGGGAGGGGGGGTCTAAGATTTTGTTACTGTTCAAACAAGGAAATTTTTTTTTCATACAAATTTTGTTACGAGGGGGGGGGGGTCTAAGAAGTCATTTTTTCGCGTTACGTAATAAGTGAACAGCCCCTAAGGTTTCTAGAGATTTCATAGCTTATTGCATAAAATATCCACAATATCATCCCCCAGCAAACTAATGCATCACTCGGGATCCATTTATTTCATTCAGTACTAAAGCAACTTATTCATTCCTTTATATTAAATTCCATTTCTTATTTTAACCACTTACTGTTGCTGTATATCATTTCCATTGTGTATTCAACTTCTCTTTTGCGTTAAAAAGCTGAAAAGTCTATTGATAATATCAAGAGGAAGAATAAGAAAATGAGAATGGCAGATAAAAAGAAACAAAATACTGACCCATCCACCGAATAATAAAAGAAAATTTTTTTTTGGTGCTTTCTTTTTATTATTTTACATTCTCTCGTTTCATTTCATTTTCGTCCATAACTTTATATATATAGTATGTATAGTGTACATATGTTAAGAAGGAATGTCGCCGTAAATGAATAAATCTATTTATTTT